CCCCGAGAATCGTATATAGTGATTAGAATGGTCTATACGCCGTAGGTAGGGGCGCCTTGTCGGCCTACCACTTCTAAAAGGGGAGCATTGTACTTGGCTTGATCGAAGTGATATTTCTGAACAAATTCATAACTGACAAGGTCTACCTCTGCGCAGGTGTCGATATCCGCGTGCGTTTCGATATCGTTTCGGACACGAATCGGGACATGGAGGCGGGCGACTGTTCCTACTTGAGGCCAGGAGTCGGAACTTGTAGGAGCTAGTTCGACTCCGGCGCTTTTCCCGAGTTTCTCGATCGAGTATCGTTGCGATGATACCAGGGTCTCGAACGAGCTTGCTGGATCTTCGCCCCTGGGGCTCTTGGCGGTAGACGACATTCGCTTGCCCAATGGCCCGGCTTGCCACAGTTAAAACAATTGTTTAAAGGGGTTCTGATAGATTGGTTGATCCCTCCGACAGGTGTATTATTTGGATTGTTATCGTTTTGAGGGGGAAACGGACGAGGGTTACCACCGAAACGAGGGGGATTCGGGTGTGAGTTGGAGTTGTTTTGATTTGGGTATGAGTTGGAGTTGTTTTGATTCGGGTATGAGTTGTAGTTGTTTTGATTCGGGTTGGTTCTAGGACCGTGAGGACCCTTTGAGTATAGATTTCCAGGACCCTTTTGATCTCGTTCTTTACCATTGGACCGGTTCGGGAACGAGTTATTGAGTCGTAGGTGTTTTGAGCTCGAATTAGAATCATTGTTGAATGGATTGCGCTTATGCGCTTTTGCTTTAGTAAATTCCCAGGTACTCTGTGCTTCTTCTACCCATTGTGCTCGAGTTTCTGGAGAAACCTTTGCATACTGTCGAATATGTAGTATCAACCACGGCTGTAGCTTCGACATATAGCGGCGAGCTTGCTCGTCCCGGGAGACCTGAGGAAGGTGACGTTCTAGGTCTGCGAGACGGTGGTGAAAGACCTTCGGTTCTTCATCGGGTCGCTGGCGGCAACGCTCCATCTCGTCGCTAACTTCTCCAGTAAAGGTATTTTTGTTGTACATCAAGGTAAGAGTCCATTCCTTGAAATACTCCCAGCTGCCGAAGCGGTCGTCATGATTATCTTCAAGGTATCTCTCTTCTGCAGTCCAGTCATTCTTGCAGTCAGAGTCGAGATATTTGACTCCTGCGAGGATCCTCATTTCCTCATCCTCGTAGACTTCGGGATTGCCTCGGAAGACATATCCAAGCTGAGAGAGCCAGTTTCCTCGCTCCTGAAGGCTAAAGGATCTCTTAAATTTATCGACCTCGAAACCCTCTACTTTCTTGCGCTTTTTGGTCTCGGTTCCCTTGCGATTCTCAGATAGCTCGTCTAGGAAGGTTCCGGTATTTAGATTTCCAGAAACCTGAGCGGAAAGCTCTTTGATGCGGGCCTGGATCGCCAGGAACTCTTCAAGACGCTCCAGTTCGCGTCTCTTCTCTTCCAGACTGTCCGTATTGATACTTCTAGGCTCGGGGATGCTCTCGGTTACAGGTTCACCTGCGATTCCCCTGATCTGCATCCCACGAGAGGGGGGGAGGAGATGCGTCAGCATCGTGTACGGTGGCTCCGCGGATTGATATCTGATCCGGCTCAGGTTCTATAGGGTTTTCATGCCGATCCGGGGCCGATTCGATCTCGGGTCGAATCGTAGGAGGGGGGGGTGTAGCGACTTCGGATCGTGCACTACTGCGGGAGGATGCAGGGTTTCGTCGTGTAGAGGGTACCATCTTCAATCCTTGGGTAGTCAAGAGAGAAGAATCAGAATTGTAATGGTTACTAAGTTGTCAGGCTAGAGACCTGTGACTAGGCAAGGATATCGGACGGTAGAGATCAGATTGGGCAGTCGATACAGAGACTGATTCTTGAGAGGATCAAGAATCCTGAATGCTTGTGGGATCTTAAATACATTAGGGCTCGGGTGGATGTCGATATGCAGGTGACTCAAAGGGGATTCGTCCATGAATCGGCCTCGAGAGTCCGGGGTATCGTATACTTCGAATCCCGTGACAGGGTGCTTATATATATAAACCCTTACGCTCCAGTATCTCCTAATATAGAAACTAAATAAGATCGTCTATTAAAAACTATCTGAGGCTTAAGTACAAAGCTTCAATTCGTTACAATATCTTTTAGATTTAACTTGGTAAGGGAGAGTTCTATCCTACCTAGTAAGGAGACTTATACCAGGCTTAATCTTTTGCTAGATTAGCAGGAGCAGCAGTATCTTCGGCAGGTACTTCCAGGTCAGCCAGTTTGTTAGTAGCGATAGTCTTCGTAGCTAGTCAGGCAGTATACCAAGGATAATTCTTTCTGATATATCCTTATTGACCATATTTGTAGTATAGGCTATTATTTTAATAGTGAGCTATAACAGCGGGATCTTAGGTATTCAGACCCTTTGAGCTTATAGGGGGAGCTGGTGTAGGAGTTTCTATAGTAATAGGTATCTTTACGATTTCTAGCTTCTTTAGAGCAGTAGTAGATGAGGTAGTAGTTGTAGATCTATCAGCCTTACACTGAGTAGTATCGTTATCTATAATGTTGTATCGACCAGAGACACAATAAGCCTTCTTAATAAACTCCTTAAATATAACGCCTGGCTTATTAACCTTACCGACAAGCTTATATTATAGCTTAGGGGTAAGCTTCTAATGAAGCTAGTAGATACACTTTAATAGGGGAATCTTAGTGTCATCTGTAAGACAGATAAACATAGCGAGGAAGAGAGCGAATTTATCGTTGTTCTTTATCAGGAGCCTCTCAAAATCAAACTCTGCATTGACGAGGCGGTTAGAGTCTCTATAGATATTTTCTAGGAAGGTTAGGATGTCAGATCTATTAAAGAACTTATTAATACCTTTGTAAAGGCCAGGAACCAGCTGTTTATAAGCTTTACTAGAAGTTTGACTTATAATATACGCCTTACGGAGTTTAGTAGTAGGGAAGTAGTTAGTATTAGCAGTAAGCTTCTGTTAGATAGCAATACGCTATCTATTAAACTTAACGTCTGTTCTATTAACGAAGACAGAGAGGTTAGCCAGCTTATAGGTCTTATGTATACGGTCTGGTTTGTATGTTAGTTTAGGTAAATAAGGGCTTTGGTTACCCCGGAGCTTGGAGGTTTTACAATACAGGGCGTTATAATGAGGGAAGTTATAAGGGACCTTATAAGGAGACAGAGGCCGCTCTTATCTGTCTTGTAGGTGGTTTAACTGTTGTCGTAGTTCGTTTCTGATTATGCGGGAACCTTAGAGGTTCTGCTTAAGCTTATTACGCTCTGCAGTAATAGTTTGGATCTGGTTTATAAGAGTATTAACTTCTGCTCGGATCTGCTGGATTAAGGTATCCTAAGTATAAGACGCAGCTTATTGTTCTAACAGCTGTTTGTAAGTAGAGGAGTAGGTATTATAGGCTGCTTGTTGGTCCTTAAACAAATAAGCATAGCGTTGGTTATTATGTTCTAGGTACTCCTTAAGTTCTGCTCTATAAGTAAACTCTATAGCCCCGCCAGTTATATTGCTATCGTTGGTCGGAAGGATAGGGTACTTTATAAAGAAGGAGGTCCGCCGCTTTTCTTTGCCTTTAGAGGCTTTTGAGTTTGGGTTCGTCTCAGTGTAAGGATATTCTGTATCGCTCTTACTGTCGGTTTTGATTCTGACCTCTAAGGAGGCTTGTGAAGGACTAGCTTTGCCCTGAGTAGGTTGTACTATTGTGGCTAACTGTCGATCGTGTCTTGGCGTTGTGATATTGGGAGTACTGATTGGTCGAGGTGGGCGCTGCACGGAGGTGAGCGCGTGCCTGTACGACGATAGTGCTCGAAGAAGGGATGAACGAGTTTTGTTACTATGTGAGGAACTCGAATAAATGAAGCAATTATGTAGTATTGGACGAAAGTAACAAAACTAGAGAAGAAAGAAAAGAGAGGAAGCTATCTATATGGTGTATGGGAAATAGGCAGGTGGTGGGTCACGTGGTATGGGCACGTAACATCGTAGGAGCGAGCAGAGAATGGGCATATCGTTACAAGGGGGGTCTACTTTTTTATTATGTATATTTGGGTGCTTCAGTGTGTGGGATAGTATACTGATGGTTGAATAGTAATAAATTCTAAACTTTATGTAAAACTAGTAAAGCAGTGTTATAGGTGACTTTGGCTCTCCTATGAGTCCTATCTTACTAGTAACTAGGAACTGTATCTAGGATTAAGTAAGAAATTAAACAGCACCCATTAAGTAATAGTACGTATTTGTAGGGTCATGTGATCATTGGTGATTAGTTAGCCTAGCTACCTTAGGAATGCATCATCTTACACCTCCCAGTACTTCCATACAGCTGTACCTACAGACCGAACGCTACAGAACAGATCTTCTAGACAACTATCAATTAAGATAGGCCTCAATCTTCTCCTCAGCTCCCACCATGTTCCTCTCATACACCCTGATGAGTGGCGGAAGTAGATGGGGCAGACATTTCTGATTGTGTTTCCGAAGGCACGGTCTCTGGAAACAACGGGGAGACAGGATAAATTGGGGAAATTGGGGGTAGGGACGGGGTGAATCGATGTTGGGGGGGATTGGCAGCGATTACGACGAAGACAGCAGTACATGCTGCATGACGCGAAACTGCATTCAGCGCGATTAGACAATAGTAAAGATATGAAGACAGAGAGGATATCTCGACAAGAGAAAAGGCATCCTGAATGCCTGAGGCATACCGGCGTCAACACCAAGTGCCTTCCTAGAAATCACGACAGGCAAATTAATCCTCCTCCCTTCCTCATTTCCTTTTGTTTTCATCCCTTCTTGTCTCTTGCGCACATCATTGTGCTCGTCTGTCGAGTACCAGCGCCGTCATATCTGCTGCGAGCACGATTCACCAGTCTTCCACCCCTTTCGAGTCCATTACCATACCTACTGCCAGCGATATTTCCTAATCGTATCACTCCTTGTCAGCCCATTACGGCGGTCATCTAAACCATGGACAGTAAGTGTTTGACTCCGCCCCATACATAACAGACCGTTGATTATGGCGAAGCTGTTCTACCTGTACCGACCAGGAGCTTTTCATGGGAAAAAGAAGCAGCAAAGACCGAAATCACCAAACCCCTGGGCCATATACCCCACGGCCTAAACCTTCCCTTGGGGAAGAAGTCTATTCAGGTCGAGTTCCGCAATCTTTACGGATGGAACGCGGCATCTGAGATCAGTACCCAGCTTGGTCACTGGCTGACAGCACGAATACTATACCGAAAGGAAAAAGTAAAGGACCTGGCCAACTCGGGGGCTACCGCCAGCCAACTCTTGAACCTACTGAAATGGGCCAAGAAGCAAACCGAGACTTACTTGCACAACTACCCGGACTGGCAACGTTATCTCAAGCATATCGAAGAACATCCGGTCCAAAAGCAGGGCAACCCCATCGCCATCTGCGCATTCTCGACGATTCGAGATCAGCAATACCAACTACGCAATTTCAATCCGCCTTCTCTGCCCCTCGCTTCACCAGAAGGCAGATCGAGTTTGCGATCACGAGTGTTCGAGACATCCGCCGAATCCTCAACCGGATCCGGCCGTAGAGTGGCCCCGAAACCAAGCACAATGTCAACGTCCAGCTCGTCCTCCAGCTCTTGAGAAGAGACCAGCGAATCGGCAGAGAGACCGACCAAGCGCATTAAACTCTCAATCCAATCCGAGAAAGATCTGGTTCGACGTATACAGAATTTGACGCCAGAGAGCAGAGAGACCGATACTACTGGTGGATTTACGGAACTTATGCGTTCGTATCCCCAAAGATCGATTAAGTAAAGTATCTTCGGTCTCTTACCACTGTGCATGTTGCTCTTTGTTATCAATAAATATTAAATATCAGTAAATTCCTACACATACACAATTGAGGTCTATTCCCCATCTCCATCGATCAATTACGATCGTAAGATTCTTTCCGTTGGGGACTCTTATACTTCGCACATGACACTAGTCCATATTAGGTAATACGAGCTCCAGACGCGTCGCGCCGCTCGGCTCGGGCATGGGCACCCTTGTCTTCCCAGCTCATCTCTGCCTCACTTCCTCACATCTATCCAACATGGCGGTTGGCGAAGACTGTAAGTTTATCCCGCATTTCCTGTTCTCGGTCTCTTCCGTAACGCGACAACTAATTGATCCAGGGTCGTGCGACGCAAACGATGCGCTTCATATCACGGTCGTGCAGCCTGGCGACACCAAACCTAAGACCCTGTCAACCTTCCATCCGCAATTCACCTACCCGATCTTTGGTGACGATGAACAAATCTTCGGTTACAAAGGCCTAGTCATACGCTTGCGATTCGCCGCTCACGATCTCCGCCCTCATGTCCACATATCCTATGACGACAGATTCAAGGCAGTCGATGACACGGCCGCGACGGATCTGCTAGGTACTCTTAAGCCGTTCATCCCCGAGGGTTGGTATCTTCTACTCTATGCGCCATCAATTCGGGAACTAACAACACATCGCAGAGGCTTTGATCAATCTTCCGGAATACGAGAAGAATGTCCAGGAGGACCCCAGCGCAAAAGACTTCTCTCCGCCCGGAAAATTAATCTACAGTTACGATGTGGATGAGAGGAACTACGAGATCTGGGCAGGTTCTCTCGCGGACCCTGCCGTTCAAAAGATTCTGGATCGCGCGCAGGTCCTGGTTTCTCTTTTCATCGAAGCTGGCACTCCCTTGGATACGGATGACCCCGAATGGAGCTTGGAGCGATGGACGGTATTCTTTGTGTAAGCCTCCATCTTGATTTCACTTAAAAACTTCCGAAACTAACTATTGCAGTTATGAAAAGGTGAAGCCAACCACACCAACCGCATCCTCATACTCCATCGTCGGATATGCTACAACCTACCGATACTGGATGTACCAGCGAGATCGTTCAGAAACCCCAGTCGTAAAGGATCTCGCATTCCCTTTGCCGGAGCTCAAGATCTCCGAACTCCCAGCCCGACTTCGCATCGCTCAGTTCCTCGTCCTTCCATCCCACCACCGCTCGGGCCACGGCACCCATCTTTACACAACTATCCATGCATTTTGCCTGGCGGACCCCACAATCACGGAATTGACTGTCGAGGATCCCAACGAAGCGTTCGATGCTCTCCGGGACTCCGCTGACTTTTGCCTGCTGCGCCCCGAATTTCTCAAGCACAACGTGAATCTCAACCCCGACCCGAATGGGATTTACTCTGGCAAGAAGCGCCCGACAGTGGTTCCTACCAATGCGCTTATCCCTACCCAGACCCTTCGCGAAGTGCGCACCGCCTTCAAGATCGAAGCGACTCAGTTTGCACACATCCTGGAGATGTACCTACTGAGCCAGATCCCCAAGAGTCATCGCTTGGCCGGTGGCACCAATCTTGCGCGATTATTGATTAAGAAGTCCAAGGCTGATAACCCCGATGACCGACGGTACTACTGGTGGCGCATGCTCACCAAACAACGCCTTTACAAGAAGCACCGGGAGTTGCTTGACGAATTGGATCTGACCGACCGGGTAGAGAAGCTGGATGACACGGTTCGAAATGTCGAGGAAGGTTATGAAATCACACTCGGGGCTCTCGAGGGTCGCTTGCCCGAGGCTCAGGATAAGTCAAGAGAAGCTTCTAGCAGTGGACGGGGTAAGCGCAAGCTTGCCGTCTCTGACGATGAAGATGAGGAAGAAAACGGAGCGGAGGCAGCTAAGCGCCCTAAGGTCTAGGCTTGCCAATATGTGTCGTTGGTCCTCGGGGCTTCGCACTATGTAATCTATCAACTGGGATTTGGATCTGGATCTGGATCTGCTGGAATGGCTTTGGTTCTTTTTTTCAATGGTCAATCAAATGCTAAAATGAGAACTTGAAAGACTGAAATAAGTAAAATCGATCTGGTAAACCTTGTGTAGTTAAAATAGTGAATGAATAGTAAGTAAAGTGATCAGAGGATTAACCACCTCCGCTATTGTTAGAAGTGGCCCGGCAGCGGCGCAAGAATCCAGGCTAGCAGATCTCGGCACATCCTTTTTTCCGGGTTCAGGCTTCGTCACAGCAGCTGGTGCGGAGCTCGATTACACCCATTGATTCCGCCAGCAACCCTTTTCGAATTCAACGAGACCCTCTGCTGGTCATCTACCACCCTTCACTTCCATCACTCGGGCTGAAAATTGGCGCATTGCCACCTGCCCGCACAGATTATCGCCCGCACACCACTGCGCACACCCTCCCCTCTTTGCGACATCCGCCTCTTATCGATCGCATTTCACCATGGTATGCTTCGTCTCGGTCTTGTAATGCCTGCCGGAATTTGAAGCTAACATCTTTCCCTGACAGCTTCCTCTCGGCCTTCTGACGGCCGCACAGGGCCACCCCATGCTGGTGGAGCTCAAGAACGGCGAGACGCTGAACGGCCACCTCGTTACTTGCGACAACTGGATGAACTTGATTCTGCGTGAAGTGGTGCAGACCAGCCCCGAGGGTGACAAGTTCTTCCGCCTGCCCGAAGTTTACATCCGTGGTAACAATGTGAGTTTATATCTACACCGCTGCGCACAATCGTGTCGTATCCATATCTCTAACCACTTCCTCCAGATCAAATACCTCCGCGTCCCCGAAGAGATCATTGAGCTCGTAAAGGAGCAGCAACAGAACCAACCACAAAACCGCGGTCACCGTGGACGAGATGGCGAGCGTGGCCGCGGCCGCGGCGGCGGTCGTGGCGGGCGCGGCGGCCGGGGCGGTCGGGGACGTGGTGGCCACGCCGTATGAGACAGTCTACACATTACCTTGCATGTCTAGGATGAAATTGAAACACGAGATACCCTGAAGGAGGCGGAGTGGGTAAGGTCGCTCGGGGAAGAAGAGGTCCGATTGAACTGGACAGTTTTGGTCGAGCATGGCCACGGCGCATATCTGGCTCTGTATTTTACCGTGGGATCTGGGCTATTGGGGTTGGATTAACGACCTACAAATACAACGAATTAGAAACCCCAAAATTCTCGTATCATTTATCTGTGTAGCTTAACGCAAATCGCCATCTATTTATGGTATGCTATGCTAGTCTCGACGCGGAGACTCACCGTTATCAGTCACGTGTTATCGCATTATTTCGTACCCGCGGCGAGTCCGCAACAGACAAGGTGATTCCATCGCCAACGCAAGCAAACGGACATGTCTCGGCGTGCCTTGGTCCTGGATGGGCTTTGGTATTCATTATGTCCTTCATTCGTCCCCAGGGCGCTCAGTCGCCCCTTGCCACTCCAACAAACGAAGAAGCGAAGCTCAAGACCATTTGCGCCAGCAAGTACTTGCACGGCAGGAAGCTCGCCACGAAGATACTATACAAGCGGAAATAATGTCAGTCACAACATGACCGGCTATCATAGCTCGCGCGCCCCCGAAGCATCTCCCACTCACGATGAATCACTCACCGAGACCGAGTCTTTGCCAACGGACGACGTCGAACATTACCCTTCAGCCACCGATATGCTCGACGACCGAAGAGAGAAGGAATTACAAATCTTATATAATATGGCCAAGGACCCCAGGACGCACGAGGTATGCGAAAACATCCCAACCTCGTTTTTGGAAAGGAAGCTGCAGGAGGATATGGCCATAAAGCCCAAGATCAACGACGCAGAGCGTCTCTTCCGAGTCTTAATACGAGACCGTCAAATCCGACCGACTGCCCGACACTACAAGGCATTGATATTGGCCAATTGCGATTGGGCGTTTGGGTCATCATTAGCTGTGCAAAGGCTGCTTGATGAGATGGATCTCAATAATATTGCGATGGATTCGGGCACGCTTCATGCTGCTCTTCAGGTACGTATATAAGTGAAAGACTGTCTTTATTAAGGTGCCTCGCTAATCAGCTTGCTGAAAATCATAGGCCGTGGCAGTACATCCCGACTATATCCTTCGCCAACAACTACTTGATCGACTTCGAGATCGGTGGCTTCCCCTCAGCCCGGCGGGCTGGCACTCTGTAGTAGCGGGCTTGATGCGAGAGAATCAGTTTGAAAAGGCACTCGAGCAACTTGAAGCCATGGAGCGGAAGAACATCCCTATCGAGAATTGGTTGCACAGTTTGATCATCTATATCCTGTGTGACTACAAAGAATTTGAAGAAATAAGCCGTCTCGTTCGAAGAAGGGTCGAGCAAGGCCACGACCTGACGCCACATCTTTTGTCTCATGTGCTTGAAAAGGCAAGCGAAGACCGACACCATGGGCTGACTCACTACATATGGGAAAGAAAAGTGAATCTGGGCTACCTTCATCCTTCGGAGGATACCTGTTCGCGGACACTAAGTACGGCAGCGAAGTACGGCGATCCTCAACTGGCCCAGGCCGTGTTTCATTATATCCGCAAGGCTCACCTCGCGCCGAAATCCGATGACTATCACCAGCTCATCAGATCTTATCTGGCCAGCGGATCCGAAGGGGATCTTCTTGCCGGGTTCCAGGAGCTCTGCACAGTGCACGAAGCCGGACTCAAGCCCCTGCACAGTACTATGAAGGCATTGTATCAACATTTTATCAGACATAAAATCGATGGCTGGGAAGCGTGGCAAATGCTCAAACGACTCAAAGATTCCGAGCGATCCATTCCCATCGACGCTGTTGAGCTCATTCTCCAGACCTGGAAAAATGACGCCAAGCACAATCCATCCGTCGCAGATGATGCCCTGCAACTCTACCGTGAACTCTACACAGTCTGTCCTGACAGCTCAAACCTTTCCATCTACAATTCATTGATCAACATTTGTCGACGTGCCCAAAGAGTCGACTTGGGAATGTATATGCTGAAAGAAATGTCATCCTTCGGCATAATCCCGAGTTGTAAGACCTTCGAACTTGTTATTCGGATGTGCCTCGACGCCAGAAGTTTCAAATCTGCGTGGATGTATCTCCAAGACATGCAGGAACGCGAACACCCTCTTACGCTGACGACACAAGAGTTAATTCAAGAGATCTGCCCAAAGTCTGTGGATCCTTATGCCCTACGGTTGAAATATCATCCCAGTGCTCAACTGCCGGTCAACCCGCCGGTTGCTGAACCAGCCAAACCGAATAGGCCAGGCAAGGTGGTTTGGAACAAGGAACCAAAGCCTTCTCAGGCCACGCGCAAGAGACGGAGACGTCAACGTGAAGCTCGCATTGCGGAGATGGAGGAGCGGCATGAAGGTACCGTCGTCTCGGAGAAAAAGCGAGCCACTCCATAAATAGATTTCCTTGTCATAGAAAAGCTCCGTGGACGATCGGGTCCACAATCCAATCTATCGGGTCTCAAGGGGTATGGATGCAGCGTCGGATGCATGAGGCCCGCAGGCTCGCACAATATCTCCATTTGTATGTTCTAGCCCGGACAGGACCGGGTGGATGTGGCAAGATGCATGATGCATGCACCAGGCACCAAAGTATATGTGGCACGAAGGAAGATCTAGTGCGACCAACCGTCGCCTGATTGATACCCTGTATATTACTATATTATCACTTTGTACGAGTACGTATGTCATCTACAAAAAATTTCTTCAACGTTCTTGAACGCATACCCCGGCCATTTAGCCGTTCTTTGGGGGACGTGTGATGGTTCGGCCGTTGCGGAATGGTTTATCCGCACCAACCCAGTTCCCGCATGGAATCGAGTCCTCCACCCTCAAACCAGTGGTTCCTTCGAGGGTCTCCACCACTCAAAATCAGTGCCGGATGTCTGAAACACGCCTAGGCGGCGATCTTGCATTCGACTTGTCAGACAGTGAGACTGAGGTCAGAACATCAGACAACGAGTGCTTCCAGTACAGTATGGATTGTGAATACTGGGGAACTATTGGCGTACGTTGCCGATCGATATCCCCTGAAAGGATCGGCAGTTCGGTGGAGCCAACAAAGAGGAACGGAAGAGTTGAATCAAAGTTGAACCGATGGGGAGGAGGTTGAACTAAGAAAATGGGATGGCCGGAGTGGTTGCGAGTGGAGACTTCACTGGGTCGCCAAGGACATCCTCGTCAGCCCGTTGGACCCTGCCTTTCCCTGCCTTTCCCCCCCCCTCGTACATCTGCACTTCTTAACTTACTTATACTTTCCAACCTTGCCTCTCGCCTCTTCCCTCTCACCCTTTCTCTTTCATCCTTCATCCTTCTTATTCACCTTCCAATTGTACAATACTTTTACCCTTCCCTGATATAATCCCTAATATCACCATCATCATCATCATCATCATGCAACTTACTACCATCCTCCCTGTCCTGCTCTCTACTCTGAGCCTGACCACCGCCGCTACCCAAGGTGCCGCTCCCGTTTTCAGATCCAACAATCTCGACATCGGCAGCTCTCCCGGTGGCGTCGCCTGGCGATTCAATGTCACTGCCCGCCGTGGGGATGACTCTCCCGCGTTTAACACCCGCTGTGAAGGAACCTCCTACAACGCCACCCCGTTGCCAATCCAAATATCGTCGCGCAGCTCACCCCATTGGGAAACCCCAATTTCAACCTCACGGTGCAGCAACACTGGGTCAAATATGTGGATTCGGAACGCCAGGACTTTTGGCAAGAAGGCACGGCCAAGGTCAACGAGACCAGTACAGGCTTCAATATCATCCCTGACATCTTCTACGGAGTGGCGTAAAGATCCTGTTTGATCGGATCCCTATCGTGATCAGCGGTTCAGTGGTTCGGTGTCTCAGCTGTTCTTTGCCTCGTCCCAGATGGTACTGACAAACAGACTTGGTCCAGGTCATCTCTAATGTAATGGCTGGGAACTCCTGTTTCTTGTTCTTTTTTTCTTTCTATTCCTCTTATGACCCTGCGGAACAAGGACCGCATGACTCTCCTTAATGACCGGCGTTTTGGGTTGGGTAGGTTACCTTTGATTTGAACACACTCCCGACGCTCCTTGGAAGCCCGGATTACTGGGGTCTAATGCTTGGTTGGAATATTGCACATATTGGCATCATTCTGTACAATAAACAAAAATCAATCAGCTCTCATCTGCACACTTGCCACGGAGTACACAATCTCCATGTCTTACGTTACTGGTACACTATGACTATACTAGTACTTTAATAGAGACTAGAAGTATACTCTAAAGAATAAGAATATGCTAAGATCCCCAACGGCGCCGAGCTAAACAGGGGAGGCGCTTTCTTAGCGGCGACGGGTGACATGATGTCATTGGCCCGACTGCGCCTCCTGCGATAAACAAGTTCCCCTCTCCACCGTCAGCCAAGCTATACTGAGATCTTTAAGTCTTCTCTTTCTTCATGTCCTGGTATCTATATGACAACTGCGAGTTGAGTATCTCGCAGAATGGTATGGCTCCCGACTCTCCAGACCATGGTTTGCACGCGCTAACTCCACACCCCAGACTTCAATCCTTCGCCAAATTGTCGCGGGGCCGAGACAACAGCACCCGGAAGCTGGACTAGATCTCTGCTATGTAACCGATAATGGTATATCGTCTCTACGCGGTCGTGCATTGCAACCCCCAACCAAGCTAACGCTGTTGTGTAATCCTAGTAATCGCCACCTCAGGCCCCTCCGGAAACTATCCTCAGCGCGCATACCGCAACCCACTCGACGCTCTGGTCAAATTCCTCGACTCGAAACATGGTGCAAATTGGTGCATCTGGGAATTCCGCGCCGAAGGCACAGGGTATCCCGACTCGGAAGTATACGGGCGCATTCACCATTTCCCCTGGCCAGATCACCACCCACCGCCCTTCGCATTGATCCCGAATATCATGGGAAGCATGCGGAACTGGCTGAATAACCTTGACGATACAGATAAGAAGGAAGGGGAGGAAGGACCCTCAAAGCGAGTCGCGGTCGTACATTGCAAGGCGGGCAAAGGGCGCAGCGGCACCGTCGCAACGGCATATTTAATCAGCCAAGAAGGGTGGAAGAAGGAGGACGCTTTGCAGCGATTCACCGATCGACGCATGCGAGTCGGTTTCGGTAATGGTGTAAGCATCCCCAGTCAACTACGATACGTCGATTATATCGATCGATGGGCGAACAAGCTTGATAAGCAATACGTGGAACGACCAGTCGAGATCCTCGAGGTACATATCTGGGGCCTGCGAGATGGAGTCAAGGTCGCAGTTCAAGGATACGAGGATGAAGGGAAGAAAATCAAGTGCTGCCACCTTTTCCACCGCAGCGAACGCACGGTCATCGAGGGCATTGTTGCAGGACCAGGAGCTGGGAATACCACACCAAGACAGGATGATCTCAAGGATAAATCTCCTCAGAGTTCTACACCATCATCAACAACATGGTCGCCTATGACCTCTCAATCAGATACCTCCACTACAACGCCTAAACCTAGCCTCTCACGCCGATCAACCACAACCGGCGCTTTATCGGCGGTGATCTTCAAACCCAAGAAAGCTATCATCGTTCCAGGTTCTGACGTCAATATTGATCTCGAGCGACGCAGCAAGGCCTCATATACCGGTTTTGCCATGGTTACATCAGTTGCGCACGTCTGGTGGAATGCCTACTTCGAAGGCGGCAAGGATCACGACTCTGGCGTCTTCGAGATAGAATGGGACGCAATGGACGGAATCAAAGGCAGCGCGAGGAAGGGGATCCGCGCATTCGAAAAACTCAAGGTGGTTTGGCGATACCCTTCGCCGGACGAGGATATCAAGAAAGACGCCGCTCCCGTGAGTGGCAGACCGATCAGCGAGCCGAAGCCCGGGGAGCCCATCCATGAAAGTTTAGCAGCTGATTGGCGGGGCCAGGAGACAGGGACAGGGACAGGGACAGAGACAGATACAGAGACAGAGACAGGGCCGAAACAGGAGAATGTAGCGCCCGAGAAGGAGAAGAAGAAGCAACATGTCAAAGAAGAAAGCTCTGGTTTCCCGGGGTCTGGATTGTTGGCCGTCGGAGCGGGCTCTTTACATGAGCTTCAGCGACAACTAGGGTTGCGCAAGCAGACGGACGAAAGTAAGGATGTGAGTTTGGCTGGAACGGACGACGAGGCGCGGTCGACGACGACGGATGATGAAGGGCGGGTGCAGAAGGACAAGGTTGCAAATGCAAAGAAAAATGACAGTGGGGACTCTGATGGCGAGGGGGTAAGATCTTATTTTGGTAAGAATGGGGATGATGATTCTGGGAATGAACAAAAGAGGGTGGATATCAAATAAAAGCCATACTATGGATAGGATTTGCGCGTGAATGTATAGCTAGACAGATTATCTTGATGCATGACTGTTGGCGTTACTAGTATTTTAAACCTTGAAATACTCTACGATATAGGCTGAGACAAGATGAAAGGAAATAGGAAATCCCCAAGCCTGGGGTGACATTGTATCTGTATCTGTATCTACATCTATATGACTGACTAGAGTTAACAATAAGAGAAAAGAGAGAGAAAAACAAATATCGAACAATATATCACTTTGAACGCCACATCGATATGATCCTCGTAGTAGAGGCCTCGGTCTTTATTAGAGAGGCACAAATCCCTCCAGCTGCTTCCGCGCATCCTCTTGCTCCTTCCGTAGTCGATCACTCTTCTTCCGCTCATAAACCGCCCGAACAACCCGACGAACTTGCTCCTTGCCCTGGCCGAAATTGGCCCTAGCCAAGTCCAACCACCGAATCAATCTGCTCAGGTGTGTAAATGAAGTTCCATGTAGATAGGAAATCATCAACCTCAGGGTCAATTGAGTTCGGATGGGGGGGCCAGAGGTAGTTCAGGGTCCTTGGCGTTGGGTTCATTCTGCTTCTGCTTAATGGATTCCACAGCAGACAGGGGGCGTGTCTTCTGAACAGGGGGGAGATCCGGTGCCTCGGGATTTGGGATCAGAGGGAAATAGATGACGGCAATTCCGGCTTCCGGCTGCATGAGATGAAATTCGGAATCGGTGTGATCTTCGGTTTGTTCGGGATGGAAGAGGCGCTTCGATGGGGGAGGTTCTTTCTCGCTGATTAGTTCCTCTTTCGTTCCAACCCAGACATTGCAGTAGCTCAAATCCGAGTCAGCCGCCTTGTTGGAGTTCTTTGAGTGAGAGGGACTGTGACTCTGAGCATCCGCCATTTTCTCATTCGCTTTTTGTTCCGAGGCGTGCTGTGATTCGTGGAGAGCTTGCTTGGTCTCTTCTAGGCTCGAATTCTCTTGAGGCCATCCAGCACCGACTGGCCAGCCCTTGATACCACGTTGTCGGGCGTACCCGTCGACAACGGAGAGCCAGTTCTCTTGTTTGATGTCTGCGGATGCGTCGAAAGCAACGATCACATCGACGTCTCTACCGGGACGAATAAGCGGATAGATGGGCAAATTATTGCTCATACCGGCATCCATCAGACGCAAATGACTGCTGTGAAAGATAGACTCGGGCAAGAGGCCGGTAGTTGGCCTTTCATGCCCATCACGTAGTTGGGAATAGCAGCAGGATCGATAGGGTGCACTCGAATAAGGTCTTGGTTTTTGCCCTGGATCAGAGAATCGATGCCACCGAACCCAGCGAGGCTCTTGACTAAGGGTCGGACCTCTTTGTAGTAGTGCGACAGTGTCGCGCAGAAGGCGCTGCCCCAGACACCCATTAATTCGGGAACTCTGAGCTCCGGGTTAGGGTAGTTCCTATCAGGAAGCTCATTAATACCGCCGTTGAAATGTCTTCCTAGGGCCCAGGTCGGAATTCCGGCATTGAGCTCCTCGCAGAAGAACTCGTACGGAGTGAATTCGAACCACTGGAACCAGGACTCTTTTTCGGCTTCACGCATAAGGTCCTCGGGCCTAGGCTTGAGGCCATCGGCAGCCGCCACAATTCCTGGGATTTCGTGTCGGACAGCTGTATAGATAGGGAGCGGGTGTTCTCCGTTGAGTAAATTCTCCTTCTGGTTAGAGATTTTGAAATCCAGACCCGAGACTCCAAGCTCACCACGCGGAACTAGAAGTCTAGCGGCGAGTAACAGTCCGTAGATATCCACCAGCCCGAAGTCCGCACCAGGGTCTCCTTTCAATTTTTCCACTATGCCACTGAGAAGAAACTTGTTGGTCGGCGCGGTAGTAAGGAGATCCAATGCCGTGGGTGGGAAAGCAATGTGAACGCCAAGACGGCTTTTCAGGTGGTCAACGAGCTTATTGAAGCTGCGGTCCGTGATTGACGAATGATACAGAGTCTGGAGCCAACAGCTCCCACTGACTCCGGCTGTGTAGGTCACGCAATCCCATAGGCCTTCCTCCTGCACAGCTAGGTATGAACCTGTCCCCGCGACCAAGGCACGCAGTCCACCTCCCGAGCCACACATGGCAATGACCGGCACATCATCAGGGTGAATATCCTCTACCGGAATGCCGAGATAGGAAGCCAGCGCTTTCGCCGCATGCTTTTGTCGTTGTTTTCTGAACTCCAGCTCCTCTGCGCAGAGCTTATCGCTAACCCGCACCTTGGCATCCTGCAAAATTTCCGGGTTGATATCAGGGTCTTGTGACTCCTTCCATATGTCGTCGGCTAGCGAGCCAGGGGCCAAAGATAGCTCGCGCTGCAGTTTTTGGGCCGTAGCAGGTAGCAATCGCGCCCAGTCGGGGACGATGAGGTTCGTAATGTTGCCGGGCAGATCCCCCCCACTCTCCCGGAACAACGTTGTGCTTGATATTTTCGAACTTGTGAACAATATTCAGCCAAATTGAGGCCTGGTCACCGTGTTGCTCGTCATTTTTCCCAGTCGGGGTCGAAGAGGGGCTTCGTGGGTCAGAATTGGAATCCTGGTGGACCGAGGCATTGGTGAAGTGGGCATTCTGCAAGTGCCTTTTAGGGTGAGCCCACTCCCCCGTTCCATAGGCAGCCAAGGCCGCTGGTGGTACAGTCCAGCGCAAACGTGAGACCCTTGTGGCCATTGTTATGGTAGAGGGGGAGGATAGCTGCGACTGTGACTTGCATGCAGCCAACAGTGAGCTTAAACCTGGCATTGGCACAGACCCTGGCAGCTCGCCGCGGGGATGACGTCGAGACTTGTCACGTGCTAATGGCCCACCCATATCTGCATGCTTGCCGTTTTGGGAATCTATGGAAATAGGACATTGATGCCTTGGATATTCATTCTAATCCAGGCCGACGCCATGAGTAATGGCCAGGCTCAAAAAATACAGGCATTGTTCTCTCAAGGGTCATAGTCAACCCGGTTTAGCAATGATGGTTCCTCTTATAGGCTAAGTATACCCTTCTCAAGCTGGGAAATCCATGGATGCAGACCATGAGTCCGCGGATCTACCTTCTGAGGTAAAATCGAATCGAGATTAGTACTAGTAGTTGCGATCAATTACCTAGGTATATTGAAAACATCTTCTTTAGCTCACTTTCTTCATGACATCTACCTACAAAATCCTCTACAGTCTACTCTTTTTCTCTTCACAACCACAATATCCACTCCTTCGGCAAGATGTCTGAATATACCTCAAGCTCCCCTTCTTTGTCTGAGCCATATATACAAGAATCGCCTAAGTCTATGCTAGCCAACCTTCATGCCCAGCACTATCTATACAGACCTCAAGATAAACAGCCTGGCCAGCTTAAGCGATCAGCGCGAAGAAAAGCTCTCCCGAATTTCTTCGAACGCCTGGTCTCGCAGCCCATGAAGCTTGATAGAATATTCTGCAAGTACATAAAAAGGGGACGGGATGAAATAGGCTTTCAGAATAAGCTTGTGGCAGAATATCGGCCCCGCCATCCTACAAAAGATCAACTTTGATGCCCTATACTTGGTAAATGGGTGAGCGATGGAGGGCTCGAGGGAGTGCATATCTTCGATTCAATGCATGGAGAAGACACTATGAACACTATCTTTGGTAACTCCCACTGGTGCTATGATCTACACTCCGCTCGAAATGGCCTTTTTATGCACCATCGCATTGCAGAAGCATTTGACTCGGGCAAGTTTGTCATTGTTCCTGACAATACACAGCTAATAAATATTTGTGCAGCAATTGGACAGATGTGTGGGAAACCCCAGGAATACAAGCTACAGATCATCGATCCGACATGGAATCAGCTGGATGAGAGAATTCAGCTCGACATCGATATCACCTGGCAAGACTTGGATGGAAAGCGACTGAGATTCAGCTCGGGATATCGTCCCAAAATTAAATACGTCTATTTCCACTACTGTCTCCAACTTCTGCGTCGGGTTTGGCAATATAAGGGTCTATCCACCATTATACTAGATGAAGAGCTTGATAAGAACTTATGGAAACTCCCGGGTTCATTTCTTCCAAGGAACATGCTTCTTACATTCGTGAAGGAACTTGGACCTGGTTACGAAGATCTTTTGCAAAGCTCCAATAAGAGAAATGATCGTTCTGAGGATCCATTTATGTTGCTCAATGTCTGTGCATGGCAGATATTTGGCTGGCAATGCAGGTCGCTTTCAAGCGATAGTGATGAAGGTATATCCTTGGAAGATGTGAAACGGCCCTGTCATTCAGCTTCAAGATAGCGTTCACCTCTTCTCCCTCTCTCGCTCACAATTTAATAGAATTTTGCTAGCCTCTAGGCACTCTGATTCATGGCATTCTGTATACTTCACCGGAACATAGACGGGCCGCTACCTAATCAGGGATAGTTCCTCGAAGGAACACCCCCGGCGATAAGCTCCGCCCGGCCTTCCCATCCCTCGTGGACCCCACACTCCGAGACCCAGACATGACGCCTGGTGACATGGTCTTCTCGGTTCGTCGTCTGTGATCGACACCATGGTAGCCCCCAGGAACACAGCTTATGCTGAGGAGAGCGCGGAGGTGGAGGTGCTCTATGCCAACCTCGAGAAGCTCAACCGTCTCACCAAGAAGATCCAAGGCTCCCTTGTGCGCTTGGAAACAAGTGGCAAGGTGGTCAAGGAGGCCATTGGTCCAATCTACAGCAACACTCAGTCTCTCCAAATCACAAATAGCAACATCGACAAGGTTAACGATGCCATCGACCGCCTCCGACAGCCCCTCGACGCGAAGAGCCGCGAGGAAGGCATCATCCGCGCAGGGTAAGTCTCCCATTCCGAGCGAGCTTCAAAGGAGCATTTTAACAGGGTATATCCTTACTGATCCATTCCCTATACAGGCCGCAAAGCTCTGGTCTCTCTCAATACCTCTCGGCGATGAAACGTGTTGAAAAAGCGCTGGTCGACCTCAACTCAACGAACCTTCGATCCAACCAGAACGCGATCACAGACTTCAACTCGCTACTAGGCACCGGTAGTAACAAGCTTCAAGAGATGCTTCGATCCGAATTACAGCAACACATTACACCGATCGAGCCGCTACATTATCTTACCAAAGGTGCGTGGCGAACTGATCATAAGGAGCATACAATGCAGAACGAGCTAACAACATGGACTCCGTAGAGCTCCCTTTTCCATCCATCCCCGAAGAAACCGTTTCACAACTCGCTCCATTATGCGCGGTAATTGGGTCTGCATCCTTCCACGGACCGCTGCGCAATAAAGGGGAGAGCCCTGCTTTGAAAATCTATGCCGATGTGCGCGGGCCGTATATCACCTCAGGCCTACAGAACCTCGCGATCGCATCCGTCAACACTGTGAAACGAAAGCCTACCGACGGCCCATATAAACAAGGCACAAACGGTATCGGGATTTACTCGAATGCGCTGGAAGCCTTTATCATTACTGAGCATGGCATCGTTACGCAAGTCTTCACCGGGGATCAGCAAGGACTGGCATTGCAGGCCACGTTCATGTCGCCGATGGCAGAGTACTCGAAAACTTTGCGCGAACTGAATCAATATATTAGAATGAACTTGATGACGGACTGCTTCCTGGCATTCGAGATCATTGAGATCGTGACGGCAATGTCCTATCGCATCGATTCCAAGGCGGCGGAGTTGAAAAGCCTCCTCATCGAAGCTTTGCGACCCGTTCGCGAAACCGCTAAGTCCTCGCTGTCGGAGCTCATCGAGGAGACAAAACGCAAGGCTGCCAATTCTCCACTTCCCCCGGACGGTGGTCCTGTGCCCTTGGTGGAGGAGGTGATGAGCTCTCTGATCACCTTGACCGGCTATTCGGGTCCCTTGGCTTCTATCCTGACATCTCTGGGTGATGGAAACTGGCGCTCCAAGTCGAGCACCGCAGGTTCGGCCCCCTTGGACGTGGGTCCGGACAGCGGTACTCTATTCTCTCATTTTATTCTCGATATGATTGAAGCTCTCATGACGGCACTGACTGACCGTGGCTCTCAATTCCATCGCTCAAAAGCTACACTTGGTGTATTCTTATCCAATGTCTTCTGCGTTGTCGACCGGTCTATTCGGAAGAACCCGGAACTAGCGCGATATCTCGGTGCTCCCGACAGCATCTCTCGAATCGATAACTTCCGGAAACGTGCGACCTCGACGTATCTCGATGCATGGAGAGAAGTGTCCCAGACCTTGCTCGATGTTCAATATACCTCTCGCTCCGGGGCGCGACCAAACTCTGGAGGCGCAGTGGACTCCAGTGCCATTGTCAAGAATCTTTCCTCAAAAGACCGAGACGCCATCAAGGAAAAGTTCAAGGCATTCAATGCAAGCTTCGACAACATGGTTTCCCAACACAAATCCCTTCACATGGAACGCGAGGTTCGGTCAGTTCTGGGCCGGGAGCTGCAAGCTGTTCTCGAACCACTCTACTCTCGGTTCTATGATCGCTACGTGGAGATCGACAAGGGCCGTGGCAAATACATCAAATACGACAAATCCAACTTGTCGGTACAGCTGGCGCAGCTCTGCTGAGCTCTGCTGGGCAACATTATTATGTGCATAGGGACTTTACATAGCAAATGCCTAATATCATTCAATTCAATTAGTACCTCATTCCACTAAACCGTGGCACCACTAGAACTATATCACACGTGACTCTGTCGATCCCGATAACGTGATAAGCCCCGCTAAAATCGGCCGCGCAATGGGACAAAATTTACCAGATCACACACTGCCTTGTCAACGCCCTTTCGGTCTGTTCCTGTCGGTCAATTCATTCGAGCGTTCTCGAAAATCATCGCCAGAATGTCTGCCAGCAACGATGTCTACCAAACCCCCCTCAACTCGCGCTACTCGAGTAAGCTATCACCATCCCGTCCCGGCAATGAGGGGCAAAATCTGGGGGAGTTTCCAGACGAACGAACCATTGCTGACTGTTACCAATTGATCAGGCGATGAGATGAAATATCTCTTCTCGCCTCGGATGCGCTTCTCGACCTGGCGCAACCTGTGGATCTGGCTCGCCGAGTCCCAGAAAGGTACGAATATGGAACGGGATATAGATGGGTGATCCGACATCGGAATCCCATGGGAATTGTAATGGCAAAAGAAAACATTCAATTGACTGGGTCATTGCTTCTATAGAGCTTGGACTTCCGATCACCGATGAGGCCATTCAGCAGATGAAGTCTCATGCCACCATCCAGGACGACGAGTTCAAGGTCGCCGCCGAGGAGGAGAAGCGCCGCCGTCACGATGTCATGGCCCACGTCCACGCCTTCGGCCTCGTTGCCCCTGCCGCCGCCGGTATCATCCACTGGGGTGCCACCTCCTGCTACTGCACTGATAACGCCGACCTGATTCTGCTCCGTGACGGTCTCGATATCCTCATCCCCAAGCTGGCCGTTGTCGTCGACAAACTTTCCCAGTTCGCCCAGGAGTACAAGGACCTTCCCTGTCTGGGTTTCACCCACGGCCAGCCCGCCCAGCTCGTCACCGTCGGTAAGCGTGCTTGTCTGTGGATTCAGGATCTGCTGATGGATCTGCGCAACCTTGAGCGCGCCCGTGATGACCTGCGCTTCCGTGGTGTCAAGGGTACCACCGGTACTCAGGCCTCTTTCCTCCAGATCTTTGAGGGAGATCACTCCAAGGTTGAGAAGCTCGATGAGCTCGTTACCGAGAAGGCTGGCTTCAGCTCTGCTTTCATTATTTCCAGTCAGACCTACTCCCGTAAGATCGATGTTGATGTCGGTAACGCCCTCGGCTCCTTCGGTGCCACCTGCGAGCGCATCGGTATCGATATCCGTCACCTGGCCATGCTGAAGGAAGTTGAGGAGCCCTTCGAGAAGGACCAGATTGGCAGCAGTGCCATGGTAAGTTCAGTTCATAATGATCCGATTGGTCGCATGGACAGCCACTAATATGATCAACAGGCTTACAAGCGTAATCCCATGCGTTCTGAGCGTCTGTGCTCTCTCGGACGCCACCTCCAGAACCTCCCCAAGGACGCTCTGGACACCTACTCGGCTCAGTGGTTTGAGCGTTCGCTGGTAAGTTTGTCTTTTGTTATACGAGTTAAACCCTTTTCCCCTCGGTAATTAACTTTTTTGGTTCAGGACGACAGCGCCATTCGCCGTATCAGTATTCCTGAGCTCTACCTGTCTGCTGACGCCTGTCTCATTCTTCTGAGTATGTCCTTTTTTTTGCCAGTGGCAGGTCTTTTTTGGAAATTTTACTTTTGCTAACACTGTCTCCCAGACAACGTCACCTCCGGCTTCGTCGTCTATCCCGAGGTCATCAAGCGCCATGTCAATGACGAGCTTCCTTTCATGGCCACGTAAGCTTTTTCACATCCTCTTTATACTTTGATCCAGCACAAACTCACACTTTCATCCAGCGAGAACATCATCATGGCCTGCGTGAAGAAGGGTCTGTCCCGTCAAGACGCCCACGAGGAGATCCGTAAGTTATCAAATTCCCCCAACGAAATCAAATCCTTCCATTCATCTACTGCCGAAACCCGTCTAACACTGTCTCTTCTCTAGGCGTTCTCTCCCACCAAGCCGCCGACAACGTCAAGAAGCAGGGCAAGGACAACGACCTTCTCGACCGTATCCGCCGCACCGCATTCTTCAACCCCATCATCCCCGAGCTGGACGCCCTCCTCGACGCCCGCACCTTCGTCGGCCGTGCCCCCGAGCAAGTCCAGAAGTTCACCACGACCGAAGTTGCCGCCGCTCTCAAGCCGTACGCCGCACAAGTCGCCAAGGCCGAGACCTCTGCTCTGCACGTCTAAGTTGCTCCGACAAAAGAAAGGCATGGAGACTACTACCCACTCGCACAAGCATTTATTGTCAGTGGGATTTACATGAAGGAAAAAAGTTGACACATGTGTCTGGAAGAAATGTGATATAGAGGTCAGGAGTTGTTTATATTGACCGGGTTCTACGTGCTATGAAATGAAATGTATACCTTTGGGTCTGGGTCTTCAACGTAGGGAAGGGATACTAAGTACTAATAAGCCCTGGAATCGATCGGTCGCGGGTAGAATTCTTGATTATATTTCAAGTTGCAATAGTCATTACATATGAGTCGTCGTCCGAACGATACTCGAACGGTACTATGATCACGCGACAACCGAATAGAGAGAAGATTCGACCACTTGGATTTGGATTTTGGGGGCCGAGGCGAAGGCGGGGAAAGTCGATGGCCTGGACAATATTAAGTAGAGCAATCGAGATTGGTGAATTGGTCTGATGGTGAGGATGGAGTGAATCCAATCCAATCCAATCCATTGTTGATCCGACGAAATGATTCTAATAACAGAGGATACCGTATGAATGCAAAAAAAAAAAAAGAAATGATGATATAGATAAGAGAAACGAGGGACCTTGGAAACGCTCGTATGATGTATGCAAGAAAACAAGGTAACGTATGCATAGGAGCCGTAAGACGCTAGATGCAATGGAACGCCATGGCAAAAAAAAGGTCATGCATGCCCAGGTGTAAAGAAAAGAGGCAAAAAAAGCCACGAATTATTCACAATTGTAAGAGGACTTTTTTCAGCGGCGACAAATACCAATAAGAAAAAAGAACAGGTCTAATGTCTCGCTCACATTTTGCCAGTTGGTAGGGGTAGATGGATGGTGGAGGGATCAATCGGGGTATGTTGGGTTAGAAAGCAATGAGAACGATGCATGCATATGCCACTGGGGAAACAGCAGCTGGACTGGACCGAGCGACTGATGGAAATCGCGAGAGGCACGGCGATAGTCAAGATGAAGTTGATTTCATTTGCGTCTTCGCGTACAGGGAAGCGTCGAGAGACAAATCGGATGAGTGGGTGGATAATATAGCCGAGCACGACAGGCACGAGGCAAGGTGAGAGCATGTTGCCGCGCGGGAATGTAAATGATATGCCCGAAGAAAAGCGTGTAACATGACATGCCCGATTTCACCGAGGAACCGACGGCAGCACCGGTTAGAATTCCCCGAGCCAATTGCACTGCGGTCGCGATGTGGGATCAGTGGGGGTAAAGCAATGCCACGGTGGATAGCAAATAAATGGTGGTTGAGTCGGTCAGGTCAGGTTAGGCCAGATCATGTCATGTCACGCCGATTTCAGCAGAGATTCACACATCGCCTCCATTTCCCCACACACTTCGGTGAGTGAGTGTGTGCGCGTGTGCAAGTCCGAGCCCGACAAAGGGGTGCCATGTCATGCGGATATACAGCCCCCCGATCCGAGCGGGTTCCATCCAAATGAATGAAAGGTTTATTCGGCAGGGATGGGGGGTATCGACTCGGATGGATTGAATGGGAGGTAGAATAGATCCCGAATCAACCAAAGAATGTAGAGGACGCCCAAAACCCACAACGAGGCCATAAGTTTGTAGGTCGAGGAGCGCCAGGTGACGCGCCGGATCAAGCGTCGGCCATTGGGACCTTCGATGGGTCCGCGACGCGGGGTCGAGGGGGAGGTCGAGGTAGACGTAGTGCCGTTGGAGAATGGGTAGGCCGGTGCTTCGTTCATCGGCTCGCTATGGGAGGTTCTGCGACGAGCCATGACCGTTTCGAACGGAGGAGGGAAAAGGAGGAGGTGAGGTGTGAGAAAAAAGAGAAGAACAAATTTGGTTGAAGTTGGGTGGACAACAGGCTGATTTGTTATTTTTGTTATTTTTTATTTTTATTTTTATTTTATTTTTTGCTCACAAGCGAACCCAGAAAATTGAACCACGGTGCTGGGTAATTAAAGCGGTGAAAAAGGCGTGTTATGTTTTTTTTTGTATTTTTGGGGGGAGTGAAAGCCACGAGAATACCGAGTAGATGAGGATGGCTACTGGAAATAAATACACGAGACCCTACCGAGCACAGGACTCGGAGTGAACGCACAAATCGAACAAAGACAGAACACGAAGCGAGAGGAGAGAGGAGAGAGAGGAGAAAGAGACCCGCCCAAGAGCCAGCAGCACCACCTTGAAGAAGCAAGAGATCCAAAGAGGAAATCATGACTCCACGGGGCAGTCCTTGGGGGCCATTCGATGCCCTTGGATGGGAGGGGAAGACCGAATGGAGGAGTGGGTATACTCCCGGGGACCAAGGAATGGATTAGGGTTTGACACTGGCCGATATACTAGGAGTAGTTAGCAGAAGTATACTCGGAGGCAGAGGCAGAGGCAGAGGCAGAGGGCATCGTAATCGTCCAAGCCCTACTACAGAAGAACGGAACCGAGCGTGGGACAAAAGTACGAAAAGTACGAAAAGTACAATGACGACGGGGTGGAGACCGGGCGAGGGGAATCCGGGGCGATGTAGTTAGGAGTAGCAGTAGCAGTAGCAGTCGGGAGAACTGCTGACTGCTGACTTATGACTTCCTGCTGACTTATAACTAGAGTAGTACCGTGACTTGTATCCAGTACAGCACTGCAGCACTGCAGTGATACTACTCTAGTATAGAGTCTATACTATGATACTACTCCATACAGCTAGTCAATATAGGTATCTAGTAAATATACTATACTATATACTATACTATATCCTATCCTATCCTGTCCTGTCCTATCCTCCATACTATCTATACCATCTCTACTATGCTGTACCCCCCGGAATTACTCATTCCCCTCGGGCTAGACAATTTACCCCCCGGAGTCGGCACTTCTGGCGGGCGATTTCGCTGTTCAATCCATCTCCTTCTTCTTTCCTTCTTTTTCTAAACATCTTTCTCCATTTTCTTTATTTTCCCCCCTATTCTCCCTTTCATTGACTCAATTCCCCCCTCCATTATCTCATCGAATGGTCCGAGCCGCCCTTTTACAGCTGGGGCGAATCCTCCGACGCCGGAATGTGACACCGGGAGGGCATGACCTCGGCAATGCGAATCTCCCCGAGCGTCCGCCTTCGTCTCCGTCACCACCATCACTGTCACACGCGACACTTCCTCTTTCCTCCACCTCCGCCATCCACGATATCGACGACGGTTTTTATCGCCCTTTCTCATACAAGGCCTGGTGGCCCGAATTCGACACCATGTGGAAGCCGTCAGAGCGCCTGATGGAAACCATCAGGCACTATGCCAGCTTCCCCGCAACCGGAGTCTCGTTGAGGCAGATGGTCCAGTTTGGTGACCGTCCCTCCACTGGTGAGTCCCTATATGCCCTCATCTTCTCACCCAGGCCAACCTGCCACGTTGATCGAGTCTCAATTTCTGACCCTGCCAGGCACTCTCTTCCGCGCATCCCAATTCCTCTCCGAGGAGCTTCCTATTCGTCTCGCCCACCGAGTCCAGGACCTGGGCGAACTGCCCGATGGTCTCAGCGAGATGCCATCTATTAAAAAGGTTCAGGACTGGTATGCGCAATCTTTCGAGGTAAGAATTATCCCCTATCTTACTGCGCGCGTGTGACCTTTTTTTTTTTTCCTCTTTCCCCTCCCTCTATCGTTCCTCTTCACCGGTGACTCACCCCGGACTCTTCAGGAAATCATCAACCTACCTCGCCCTACCCTCACTCAGGAAGTCAAGGCCCGTCTACTGCGACCAGGTCGCATGCACGGCAGTGCCTCCAAAATTATCTCCGAGGCGACGCAAAATCCCAGCATCAAGGAGGGCCAGTACCGCTCCTTACCGACCACCAACGGAAACGGACACGGCGTCGGCAAAGCCGCCACCGCCGGGCGCCGATACTTCTTCCCCGCAGACGACCACGGAGACTGGCCACCGGAACTCAACGATTACAACCAGCGATTCGCCAAAACTCTACAGCAGATCAAGCGCCGCCACGATGGTGTCGTCACCACCGTTGCCCAGGGTATCTTGGAGTGGAAACGAGTGCGGCAACGCATGCAAATCGACTCCACCATCCAGTCCTTCCTCGATCGCTTTTACATGTCTCGTATCGGTATTCGAATGTTAATCGGTCAGCACATCGCACTCACGGAACAAACGCATATCAAGCACGCCAATTATGTCGGAATTATCTGCACCAAGACCAATGTTAAGGACATTGCGCTTGAGGCGATCGACAACGCTCGCTTCGTTTGTGAAGATTACTACGGTCTGTTCGAAGCGCCCAAGGTGCAGCTGGTCTGCAAGGACGATCTGAACTTCATGTACGTGCCCGGTCACCTGTCGCACATGCTCTTCGAGACCCTGAAGAACTCGCTGCGCGCGGTGGTCGAGCAGCACGGCGCCGACCGAGAGCAGTTCCCCGTCACCAAGGTGATTGTCGCCGAAGGCAAGGAAGACATCACAATCAAGATTTCGGACGAGGGAGGCGGTATCCCACGATCAAGCATTCCCTTGGTGTGGACCTACATGTATACCACCGTGGAACAAACCCCCAGCCTTGACCCGGACTTTGACAAGAGTGATTTCAAGGCCCCTATGGCGGGCTTTGGCTACGGATTGCCGATCAGTCGATTATACGCCCGGTATTTTGGAGGTGATCTCAAGCTGATCAGTATGGAAGGGTAAGTGCCAATTGCTCCGGCAACGCACAACTTGAGTTGCCTTTAGCTAACCAAAACTCCAGGTACGGAACCGACGTTTACCTCCATCTGAACCGTCTCTCTTCAAGCTCGGAGCCCCTGCAATGACAATTACCTGTCATGAGAGACGGCCGGACCCGGTTCACCACTTCGCACCGCCTGCACCCCATTTACATCGAACCGGTACCCAAAGCTTCGTCTCGAGGACTGACACCCATGAATGCTCAGGCACATCGCAAGCGCCTACAGAGTCGGGAGGTTTCGGAGCGAAAACAGGTCGGAGATGCGGAGAGTCTTTTCCACGCGAAGGAGCGCCGTCGCGAGGAAGCGGAGGAAGAGCTATGAGCGCTCGTCCGCTTGTCCGCTCCTCTACTTCGGATGTATCCGCGATGACTATGACTACCCATCGCATCCGGCCTGGTTTCAACTAGTATTTAGCATGACGAGGGAGAAGCCCCAACCCCAACCCCAACCCCACACCGCACCGCACAGCACACAGCAGCTCCGAAATCTGTCGATCTTCGGCCTGTCTGTAAATTCGAGATACCCATACCTCCACCTACCACCTCTATCCTCGCCTCACCTTACCTACCTTATCCCTCCTTCTGACACCCGCTTCTTCCCTCTCATGCTGGATATGATATCATCGGGCTGGACCGGTTCTTTGTACAGTACTTTATTACTTTAGCGAACATATACGATATAGCTGCGAAACGCAGCCATTAACAATTGATCCGAAGTAGACGTAATTAGTAAATACACTCCATAACTTGAAATACACCAGCACCAAACAACAGTCAATCATCCCACTGAACCTCTAATCCAACCCCCTCGACGCAGCCCTAGAACCACCCCTAGAAACAACCCTCGAACTAGCCCCAGACCCAGAGGCCGACCGTGAAACAGACCGACTCCCAGCACCAACAAGACTCTTCCTCTTCCTCCCGGACCCCATAGAACCCCCAACACCAACCTGTCTCGCCCTACCCTCCGGCCACCAAGAACTCTCATCATGACTAACAACCTCCTTCCAAGCCCCCGGTACCAAAAACGCAGTCCCACTCCCCAACCCAGTCGTAACCTGCTTCACACCACGCCGACCCGGCACTGTAAGCGCAGGAACAAACTCGGTCTGCATTTCCGGGACCGTAAAGCGCGCGCCGTAGAGATCTTCTTCTAGACGGGGATTTGTCGGGGCTAGCATCTTTGCTTGGAAGCGTCGTCTTGTTTGGGGGATTGTCTGGTAGACACGCGGTTAGCTTGGTTATTGTTCGTCGTAGATCAAATCAAATCAAATGGGTAAATGCGTAAGCCATACCCGTCTAGAATTAAGCGCATGCGTCATTGTAAGTTCCCAATCATCCAAAACGCAAAGCGCAGCATGTTCCTCCTCTCGAGTCCGCGTGCGAGCACGATGGCGCGTGATATCGCTGACACTGGCGCTGGCAGCGGCGGCAGGTAAACCCGGATTCACCTGGACAGGACGGGTATCTGGATGGGGAGCAGTTGTGATAAAGTCTCTTCCTGTAATGCATTGATTAGGTTCCGGGGATGTTTGTGAATAACTCATGCGCGAGGGGGATAGGATCAAACGCACCATCGCCCATGCCCTCGGCGCCGTAGTCGATGAAATCTATCTCGCCGCCTGCGAGTTGGAGAAAGGAGCCTTGGTCGGAGTCATCTTCTTCTGCTGGGGAATCGAGTTGCATGCTGTCTTCTTCTTCTAAGGGGATACCGATGCCGCCGTCCTCGGAGTCGGGTTCGGAGTCTGTTTCGTCGATTTGGATCGCGTGGGATCGGTTTGTGCCGGTTGGGGGTGCCATGTTGGGGGGTGGGATGGGGGTGGTGAGGATTGAATCGGGAATTCTACGTAGCATGCGCCTTTTGGTTGTAAAGCGATGAATAGAACGGCGATATGGTGCTCAGCTTGACCTTGTGATTTTGAGGTGGGATGGCTGGATCGCTACCCCGCTAGGAACTTGAAAGTAGGGATGGTAGGGTGATGGTTTGTTGCAGATGATATCTCGGCGATATTCCAGTTATTTTCTGCTGGAGATTTGTTGTTCGGTGCTGGGAGGGAAATCTCCAGATGAGTATGGTGTTGTTATTGATGCAATAAATGGACCAGCCAGTCTTGCTTAAGGTATCTGGTTCCAAGTCAGTTCACATGATCGGATATGTCAAGGAGTGCTAGGACTGTCTATCTCACTAATTCAATGATGAGCCTGAATTGAATCGTAAGGTTGTCGGTTACTAGTAGTTTTATGTGAGTTGAAGAGATCTTGCCTCAGATACCTCTAGAGCTGGGAAGTGATGTCGCGCTGGCGGGGATGCTGAGTAATCTGCCAATCACCGTGATCGCTGAATCTATACGGAGTGCCCAAGGATGCTTGAGGAAAGAGACGTATATATACGCATGTCGGTCTTTGTATTGATTAAACACGATAGAGGGTGTTCCTCATGTTTACTATTTTGATTCCGCTTGAGCAGTGCAGGCGGCAGTACTCCCGATCTGGCCGAAGCATGAAGTATAGCCTGAATACTACCCAGTTGGACTATATATATTCAACTTGAAGTTGTGATCAACTCTTCACTAGCGTGTTTCAAACCTTGGAAGTTGAACTAGGTACGTGTTGACTAGTAGATACAACATCCATAGATAGGACGTATAGACAATTTAGAAGCATTCTTTCCAAGGGTCAATGCAAGCAACTTGAAAAATTCAGTTCCACAGATCCATGGATAATGAACTTGAAGCGCTGTATTATTCCGGTACAATTTCAGCGGCCATAATCAAGCTGAGACCATGGAGTCTATAGAGACTAGAGAGCAGGGCGAAGCAAAGGAGGGTTGAAAAAATAGGAGTTAAAATATAATATCAGGTATAGAATGGATAATGCCTAACCCCCAACGCCAAAACACAATGCCGCTAAAACGACGCAGAAACAAAACACACCCTAACTTGGACATTCGTGCATGTAGCTGTTCTTGGGCCAGTGGTACCCAGCAGCCTCCCTGTAAAAAGAATAAGTAAAGTCTCGGGGGATAAGTGGATGGGAATGGGCAAGTGGTAAACATACCAATTAGTCAGGTTCGCATCTTTGTACGCCTTCTCGTGTTCACGAATATACTCTGTAGTCTCGTAGCCTGGTGGGTCGCAGGTGATACTCTCCTCATCCGGATCCTGGTAGATTCGGATATAATCAACGCGCAGGTACGCGGGCATATAGTGCTTGATGGAGTGATTCTGCGGCGCAAAGTTGTCCGCCATACCCAAGTTGAAAATCACAGACATGGGCTCCAAGGGGATCATTCGTTGACCGATGTTTCCGTTCGGTCCAATAGCCCGGCCGTCCAAGGTCCAGGTTTTGTCTTCACCGACAAACCAAGTGACATTGCCGACCGCACCGGGAGAGTATTCGAAGGCAAAGTTTTGGTATTCGGTACCATTATACCAGCGAGAGTTGAGATTTGTAAGGCCAGACATAGCCTGCTGGTACACACCACCGCGGTAGGCGTTGATTTGAGTGATACGAGGGTCATAGACGGCGGTGTAGTCTGTTACGTGAAAAGATGTTAGAAAATGGTGAATCAGAGGAGGACTGTGGAGTATATCTAACCATAATCTGGCATGTACCAGATGTCAAAGGGTGCTGCCTGGAGACTTTGAGAGGCACTACCAATGAACGGTCCATCGCCATTGAGTGCTGCTGTACTTCCCTCGATCACGTCGATTTCAGGCGCACTTCGGGCTTTTCCGGGAGAAGGGTGGTCGGAGTTCGGACAGGCGCAGCCTGGAAGACGCATTCCGGGCAAAAAGTTGATTCCATCTGGTGAGCTTTGGTTTGGGGTGATTCCAGCATCGCAGCCATCGTGGTAACTGTAGGGCCACAGGCCATCGGTGGTAGATGCGTAACCAGGACGCGCCAGGTTACCCATAGCCCAGAAGCCGGGCCAGAAACCTTGGATGTGACCATCTCCGGGCAGTGAGAGACTGGCTTCGAGACGACCACCCTTGAAGCAGAGTTTGTTCCAGCTTTGAAGCATTCCGGAGCGATATGCCACATCGTGGTTCTCGAAGTTGTCGAAGCGGATTTCGAGAGTACCTTCGTTTGTTGTCACGGCATCGGGGTCATACCACTATAGCGAGAGTTAGAGACGAGTACGCTGGTTCTATATGGAAGTTTCTCACCTCTTTATCCATGGTCACACCATACCATAAGTCGACGGCTTGAAAAAAGGGATCATCTTCATCGAAAAAAGTACGACCAGGCATATTAAACTCATCGGAAAACTGTTGATGTCAGTAGATTATCCATCCTCTTGGAGACGTAGGTACTAACCACAAGCTTCCAATCCTTGCCATCTGAATTCTTCTTCCACATCGCGTCCTCAGGGGTATCAGGGTCAATCAAACCCCTTCGTATATTATCCAAAAGTTCACGCGGTCCAACGTCGAGACACATATCATCTCCTGCAGGACAGAGAGGTGTCGGTTTTAGAACGCCTTCAACCCAGGTACTGTTACAAAGTTAGCCAGAAAATCTAGCGTTGCTATCCATTCCCAACTCACATGATAGGGTATCCAATGAAGAGAACCAGAATACCCAGTGTCAACACAACCAATCCACCGACGTTCAAGACACCTCGTCGATTGCATATATCACATTCGCCCTCTTTGTCGGCAGGATCCGGGTTGTGTAGGTAGTCGTCCTTCTCCACGTCCTCGGGGAAAAGAAGGAGTCCGTCCGTCGGCATAATGTTAAACTTCTCTGACACGGTTTGGGTGTTCACATCATACTCATCACTCCCAGAGCGCGTCGACGGTGCTCGCGAATCCTCAAACGGATCCATATGGAGACGACTCTCGCGACTCATCGAGCTGATACTCGACCGGGCTTGAGACCAGCGATCCGGCGATCCAGATCGATCCCCATCGTCACGGGGAGTAGGTCGTAGTCGGGGAGGTAACAGGAATTCCGAAGATTCCGGTGCTTGCGATACCCCATAGGGCGACATCCCTTGAACACCGAGTGAAACAGATACCATATCAGGACCAGGTGTCAAGGGTCGACGAGCAGCCCGAGAATTGGACCTGGATTCCAACCGCGAGCCTGCTCGCGATAATTGTATCGAGTCGGCTCGAGACTGTGATCGCGATACTTGCGACTCGGCTCGAGACTGTGATCGCGATACTTGCGACTCGGTTTGAGACTGGGATCGCGATACATACGACTCGGCTCGCGAGTCAGGCCGCGTCTCTAGTGGGACATAGCCCTCGTTCGTCTCAATGAATGGGTCCTGGCGGCCCGAATTCAAGCGAATGTGAGGCATTTCGAGTCTCGGGGGGGTTGGAGCCCTGGTTCGACATTTGATTAAGACAACTCTCTCAAAAATTGTAGCGAAGGGACTGTTCCAGCCGTCAGTCCTCCGTCTCAACGCTCAGCTCTTTCCCGGTCAAGCCACGTCGAGGGATCTCAGCATGCGTATGGGTCGGGACTGGCGATGTTCTTGTCGTTGGCGAAAAACTCTTTCTTTTGTTCTCCTGTTTGTCCTGTTGAGATTCTCCAATTCCAGCCGATAGATGCACAGTCGTCAAGTGCTATAGATCCGAATGAGTGGACAGGACCACTTGGACAGTATCCAACGTCCCAAGCGAAGCAATTGAACAGGCGTAGAGGCACAGGTGGAAGAGAAAGAAACACGAGACCCGTGAAAGAAAAGAAGAGCCTAGATTTGTTCGAGGGATTGTTGTTTGGCTACACGAGGGGAACGGAATGATAGAGGGTCCAAGGGGGTAACGGTGGTATGTGTATACCCTTCTCACCCACTAGAAGTAGAAGCCGTCAAAGAGGAAGAAGAGCACAATAGAAAACCGCAGTGTACTCAGACGCGAGATCAAATAGCTATATTCGTTTTGCTCTTGCGTTGCTATAAACCTAATCGCCGAGAAATCAGACGTTGACGCTAGAGCTTGCGCCTCTCCCGGTGCTGTCGCAGGGGACACTGAGGGGAGACTGGAGGGTGAGACGCATTCCCGTTGCCCCCCCCAGGGCAGCCAGGAATGGACCGGCATGAATGCTAGCCAGGAATCTGGGGATCGACATCTCAAGCTCGGTACGAGTACATCGGGGCTGAAGCCAATGGCGATAGTTATTTTGCTTGTCTTCTCGTGCTCTTGTTCTCTGTGATAGTTGGTAAGAGCAGGTTGCAGCAGACGCACCACCAACCCTTGGCTGGATGAGGTACGGGGGTCAATTAACTCCCATCTAAAGTACCCCTTCACCAATACACCATATGAACACATAGTCTCTTTCTGAATTCATTTGATTATTTTACTCAATGAGGAACAATGCTCTTTTGCAAGATTTCTACTCATCTAACATCATGGCCATTCCCAAACACGCGTCTCATCCTCGAGCCACCAAAAAACTGGAATGCTACACAGTTCAAAACCAAAAAACTGTCAAAATGACCCTGGTAACCAATGAAGAGTTTCGCCCCGATTATCCATTCCCGATTCCACCCGTACATAGGTACAATTAATAGAATCTGCCACGCGGGATGCGGCCCACGGGATACCCTTGGTTAAGGTATGGCCATCCCATACCTTCGGCTTTCCTAACCAGATCACCACACTACACAGCCTACTTGAGATATCCATGTCGATCCAACGGAAAATAGCGCTGCATTTCATCATCTTCCTATAGCGAACAACCCTCTTCCTCTACTTCTTTTCCCCTGAAACCCATTTTAGGACTCAACAGCCTTGGCCCGTAGTCCGACAACACGACCCTCAGGAACATCCAGCGCCAACACCCAATACTCAAGCTTGGTGCTGCTCAGCTCAACCCGATACACCTTCACCTCGACCGCAGACTGGTCGGCATTCTCATCACGCTCTACAGCCGCAGAGCGTACAGCGCGCAAGGCAGATGAATATTGGCTCTTAGGGTCGAATGACGAGGGCGTCAGAGTCGAGATTGCCTGGCTGAGGTCGGCATTCGGGGAGATCAGGCCGGAGAATTGATCTACTTACACACAAGGCGATTAGCATAATTCATGGTAAGGCACATGCACAGGTACAGGAACAAGGACACAGCACCCCATCAAGGGACGTAGCACTTCCATAGGGCATAGATATGTAGGGTGAAGGGAGAACAGGAGGGAGAGCCGTACCTGAGCTAGGCCAGACGCCTTGCCTAGCACCCTTCCAGAGTAGTGCAACGGGCTCGAATGGCTCGTCTGTATCGGAGATGTAGTAGCTGTCGACGGACTGGAGAGGAGTCGGGATCTGGGTCGAGGCATCGACAGTCTCGGTACGCGTGGTGTCGGTCCCTTGCTGCGTGGCGCGACCGGCGTTCAGATCTGTGTTGGCTTTGTCCAGGAAGGACATGTAGGCGTCATCGGAGGACATGACGGAGGTTTTGGTGGAGAAGCGTGAGGAGTGGGAGTGGGAGTGGGAGTGGGATGGAGCTGGTTGTGATCGTGTTGAAGCTGCGGGGGATTGAGAAATAGGTTGCGCACGATCCAGTACTTGCTTTCTGCTTGGCTGGGTGTTGTATGAAAGTGATCGATGGAGTGACGTATGTTGGTAGGTGACCAAGGGCGAGATGTCGAAGGTTGTAAGTGAAGAGCGGGCGTGGCGAGCTCGTGTTCCTTGAAGTGGTTTGGTAGTCGAAAGAAGTGAGATGACGCAATGTATCCTGGTTGAGGGCCGCATCTTGATTGCAGCACCAATCATCACCAGCAGAAGTGGACAGGGGGGATAAGGAAAGATTGTGATATTAGAGTTGTAAGAAGAGAGACGGTGTCTAATTGAATTCGAGAACCCGCCATCTGCCGGGAAAAATTAGAGTGTTGTCAGCTACTAGTACCATGTGTCAAAATCGAATCAGTCACCCTTTGCAGCAGAAATACAAGTAATACAAGTATACCACGACAGCCAGAGGGTTTTTTTTTTATATAAAAAAAAACATACTTATGTATACCAGTAGTAGTATAGTAGGTATGGGTATGATCTTGGCAGTCAAACATCAAATTCCGACTGATGTTCTACTATCAAAAGTCGCATATACATATACAGCAAATTTACAGATGAGAGATTACTTGGGAACGGTTGAAAAGGTATTGTCCGCTTTTTTTATTGAACAAGAAAATACGTTGCACTCCACCAGCCAAAAACAGAAAATCCCTTAAACGGTCTGGATAAGGTCCTTCTTGAGGGTACCCAGGAAAGCACGCTTCTCCTCGGCGGTCTGGAAAGCACCGTGACCGAACTTGGAGGAGGTATCGATCCACTTGAGGTCGACCTTCTCGGTGGCGCGGCGGCTGGTCTGGGGGTACAGAGTCTTGCGCAGGGTCATGACGCGCTTCTTGACACCGGGAACGGAGCCCTTGAGCAGGACGTAGTCGTTCTTGACCTCACCGTAGTGGACGAAACCACCAAGACTAGAGAAATGTTAGCAAGAAGGAAATGATGAAACCAATTCAAATAGGAGAAAACGTACGGAGTGATCTGCTTCTTGGAGATATCGAACTCAGTGGAGGCGTTGCCCTCATCGGAGCCCTTGCCGATACGGAAGACCTTGTGGTTGCAGGAGGTACGGTGGTGGTATCCGTCCTGACCGGCACGGGCAACAGTCCACTGGACGTGGTTAGGGTGCCAAGCACCAATACAGGCGACCTTACGCAGACCCTTGTGAGTCTTGCGGGGCAGCTTGGTGGTACCCCAACGGGAGGTAACACCAGAGAAACCGTGACCCTTGGTGACGGCAATGACGTCGATCATCTCGTCCTTCTCGAAGATAGAGTCGATGTCGATGGTCTTCTCGAACAGGTTGCGGGAGAAGTCGACCTTGTCGGCGATGGAGCCACCGTTGACCTGGATCTCCATGAGGTGGGCCTTCTTCTGCTTGATGGGGGTCTGGCGGATCTGGGTGTGGGCGAGGACACGGACGACAGTGCAGTACTTCTTGATGCGCTCAAGCTCGCGGGAGACGGCGGTACCGCTGTTGTCGGCGTGCTGCTTGGTGTACTTGGTGAAGGCCTTCTTCTTGGACTTGTACCAGTTCTTGTAGAAGCGGCGCTTGACCTCGTCGCTCAGGTGCTCAGCCCAGACGGTGGTGAGAGAGCGGAGACCACGGGGAGTCTCGATGTAACCGACAACACCAACGGCAACGAGAGGAGGGGTCTCGATGACGGTAGCGGCCTCGACGACCTCCTTCTTGTGCATCTTGGCACCGGGACGGTCAAGGTCACGGACGATGGTGGTCATACCGGCCTTGTAGCCCATGGAGGCAGTCAGGTGGACGGGCTTCTTGGCGTCATCCTTGGGGAAGCTGGTGAAAGGCGAAAAAGTCTTAGTATACCACTCTGCGCGCAAAATTTTCTCCAATTCGATTCAGACCGACGATGGCACCAAGGGGACTCACCTCTTAACCTTTCCGCGGTGGCGAGCAGCGCGCTTGCGGGGGAGGTAGGCCAGAGAGCCTGTTGAATGAAGTATCAGTAAAATTGCACACTGTATGTCGAATTTCGTCGCAAAGGAAAAAGTTGATCACGAACCGTGGCGAGGCGCTTCGAACTTCCGGTGACTCCTAAATAAGAAATTCAGGTCAGCAATTGATCGTAGGAATGTGTTGAGATATTGTTGGAAGTCTTCGACTCACATCTTGACCCTGTGTTGTCGTTAGTTCGAGGTGGTGGGAGTGACGATCGAGAGATGGAGATAAATCTGGGTGCATTTTGCACCGCTGTGGGCTAAGCGAGCCTGGCTTCCCGTTTGGGACAAGCCCTGAAAATATGACTAAGCTACGAAAAAAAGCGGAGTGGGGGGGCTGGTCACGTGTCTGGAATGCACAACTGGTCCGAGTCCCCAGTTTTCATTAGAACTGGAACTCTATTTTCCACGAGGCTATACTACTCGTATACGAATAAGGACCAGGACAGGTCAAGTTTGAGAATGGCTGAATTGGCTATCACAATAAAAGATGCCGGGGCATCGAAAGATTTCGAAGAAGATAGACGGAGGAAATTCATAAAGTAACAGAAAAGGGAACGAATACACAGGTCTGATCAAAACCAGGTGCCTCGGCTGCTTGGAGCAGATCAACGTAACAGACACATTCATAGCCTACATCGCGCAAGTGGAAAGGGGTTTAAAAGGACATAACAGAGAAGGAGAGCGACGAGGATGTCCATGGTCAAGTGAAGGGAAAAAATAAAGTAGAGATTTGATCAATCTCGGCTTTTTATGCGGAGGTTTCGGCCTTTGAAGGCGTACCTGGGCGACCGTTGCTGGTGCCGTTGGCCGCATTCTCGCCGTTAGGGCTACCCTTGGGGGCCGCGACGGCCTTCTTCTCCTCGTCTGCATCATCATCATAGTCCTCATCAACGTCCATTTTCCGAGCTGGGGGCTCGTGAGATGCGGGTGCCTCTGGGCGAGGAGCCTCTTCCTTGACTGGGGTGTTGGCCGAAGGAGGACCCGAGGGGGGGTCCGTTGGAGGCGGGAGCAGCGGCCTCGCTCATGGGAGGAAGGCTGGGACCACTCGAAGCGTGGGGGGGGCATGTTTTGAATCGAGGGCAGGGTGGGAGGGTGATGGGCTGCCTCAGAAGGGTGATAATTTTCGTTGGCACGACGGGCATCCTCGCGCCGAGCTTCCGAAGAGCTGCGCCGTTGCATCTCACTGGGGGATGGTAAGTGTGCAGGCGGGCTGGGGCGGCGGCTGTTCTGATCGTCTAGGCGGGCCCGGTTCTCATCACTGGCCAGCTTCTTCACTGGTCCAGACTCACCCTCCCATTCACGGCCACGTTTCATGGCCGAGGCGGGACGGTCTTCACCACGCTCACGAGCTGCTGCTTCAGCGGCAGCCGCAGCAGCCGCAGCAGATGCGGGAGCAGGAGCACCCGAAGCAATGCCAGTTGAATTAGGAGCCGGGGGTGCAGGGGCTGTGGGCCCATGGTGATACTGTTGGTGAGGGTAGCTCGAGCCAGGTGAGGAGGGTCGCTCTTCCCGAATAGGGCGGATCTCAGTGGGGGGAGTGAAGGGGCGGTGATAAGCAGGAGGTGCCCCAACGGCACCAGGAGCAGCAGGGGGAGGTGGGGGGAGGGCCTCCATTGGGACCCGGAGGAGGAGCGGCAGCAGCAGGGGGAGCAGGAGGTAGAGGCCCACGAGCCACCGGGGGGAAACCCACCGCTGGGAGCACGCTCATGGCCCGAGGGGGGGAGCATTTGCAATTTGAGGCAGGTGTTGTGGAGGATAAGCAGACGGACCGCCCAGTTTGGGCGAGTGACCTGGGCCACGAGCAGGATCGGGGAAAGCACGACCGGGCTCCTGACGAGGGCTTGCCTGAGGGATAGGGCCAGGGGCACGGATTGGGTCGCGCTGGTCAAGGCCATTGGCCGGGGGGGGGCCGGCCCTTGAGACGCCAGATCGTTGATTCCGCGATTCCAATCGGCAATCTGCCTCGGGGGCGCAGGTGCCTGGGCTGGGGGACCGACTGGGGCGGGGGCGCCCCACTGGGGAGCGGGCGGCTGACCGACACCAGGAGCCTGGTATGCCTGGGGGTGAACGTCTTGCGGTTGAGGCGCGGGGGCGTTTGGCTGTTGGGCATTGCCACCCTGGAGTTGGCTTTGAAGCAATTGCAGGCGGGCCTTGATGTGGACATTGGCAGGGTCCAGATCAGCAGCGCGCCCGTAGGCATCCAGCGCGTCGGCGATCTGGTTGTTGCATGATTCGTACAGAGTGCCCAGATCATACCAGACCTCGGAGATATATGGGTTCAGGCGGATTGCACGAGAGTAAGCATCGAGCGCGTCGCGGTACTGATTGATCTGGTAGTATAGAACACCGATGGAGCACCAGAAAGTAGGGTTGCGACCGTCGCGATACACGGCTTGTTGGTAGGCTTCATAGGCCTTGGGGTACTTCGCCTGCGACATGTAACAGCGACCAAGAAGGTACCAGCTCTGCGCGTCATTGTTATCCGCGCTAACCGACTTCTCGAGGAACTCGATGGCCTTCTCTTGGCTTGAGAAGCTGCCGCTTTGTTGGTGGTAGAGCCATCCAAGTTGTTGCAGGACCTTGGCATGGTTCGGGTCGCGGTCGAGAACTCGGCGGTAGGCTGCTTGAGCGGAGTCGAACTGGAAAACAATGGTGTTAGAAAACTTTCAGCTCAAGGATGTGACTATGCGAGAACATACGTCTTTCTGTTGCTCGTGAACGTGACCGATCTGGAACCAAATATCTTCCTCGGTCAGTGGGCGAGGCGGGTCATTAACAATGTACTTGAAGCACTGGACTACTGGTTAGTAATTGAATCTCTTGGGGATGGTTAATGGAAGTCACATACCTCCAGACTCTGGCTGAACTTCTGCTGTTGCTTGTAGATTATACCCAGGCGGAAATAAATTTCATTGGCCTTCTCGAACTCGGGAGCCATGCGCATAACTTGAGAAAATGCTTCTTCGGCGTGGTCGAGGGATCCGTAACGGTCGTAAAGAATACCAATTCCATACCAGAGCTTGGGTTCCTAAGTGGGAGTTAATTTTTGCTGTTTTTGTTTTGTTGGGGTTTGGGGGCGGAAAACAACAAAGCGACTCACCTTCGGGTCGCGCAGATGGTAGAGAGCTTGTTGGTAAGAGGTGTAGGCCTCTTGAAGGTTATCCATCATCAAATGACAGTGTCCCAGACTACCCCAAGTTTCTCCGCTGGTTGGATCCAGCTTCAAGATATTCTGAAGATACTCAATGGCCTTGGGGAATTGCTCCTTAGTGCGGAGGATGCAGGAGATGGCATTCATGGCCGGGATGGACCATTGATTGTGACGCAAAGCCTGCTCATACGCATTCATAGCGCCATCGAGATCTCCCATAAGCTCAGTCAAACTGCCTACAAGACGAGATCCATCGTCAGTATTTAATCGCGTTTTGTCACTGCGGAGGGAAAAGAAACACGGTTCGCATTCTTACCAATTGACAGCCAGACTTGCTCGTTGAGCGCGGCAATCTTTTGGGCGGTGGTGAGAGGAACCCCCCTTTTGGCCTTGCGCAGGAATAGCGGGCATGTGTCCATTGACCTGGGCGTGAGCGGCCATGTGCGCCGCGGCGTGGTGGGGAGCCACACCCGCGGTGGGTGAGGGTTGAGTATGAGACATAATTCTGAGAGAAATTCGAATCTCGAGATAATTCAACGATGTCGCAATCCAAAGTCGATGGGCCTTGCGACACGATGATGCAAAGTACCGAGTCGATGGATGACAGCCGGGCGCGAATTATTGAAGCCGACGATGACTAGGAACAAGTAGAATTTGGTGATTTAGTGTTGCAGGGCGAGTGGATATGCGACACGGAATCGCCCTAATGGAAAAGGGTCGATCGGGAAAGGCGGATGGTTGGGTGTGGTGGTGATGCCTCTCCCGAGGATGGAATCGGGGGCGGGAAAGGAGCGCGCGTGGAGAAAATCCGGAGAGAGCTAGCTTTCCACGGGGTCCAAAAATAGGGACAGCGAGGGAAGAGGAATGGCAGAGAAAGGAAAGACGAGGTGGATGAGAAATCAACCGCGTCCAAAGGGGAAGGAAAAGAGAGGGGAAAGAAGAGGTGGATAGAAGGATGAAGATGAAGCCCAAAGGAAGAAGGGAAGAGAGAGTCGAGGGGCTGGCAGGAAAGGTGTGAAATTGGCCAAGAGACGCTAGTGGTTGCGTAGCTCAGCGGCCGTCACCACCGCGCAAAAAAAGCTGACGACCTAAAGTGGGTTAGCGTGGTGGACCCGATCTGGGGTTCGTACTTGGTGCTGAGATGGTATGGTGTATGTTGGTAGATATTGTATTTAAAATAAATACATAAATAGCTAACAACTCTTGACTGTTATATACACCCATTCAGTCATCATGACTCTATCAAGTTCTCTCAACATCAAAACTGCCATTCATAGCACTAGTCTATCACGATCTGGTACATCCCAGGATCCACACCGTTAAGCCCCCGGTTGGGCCGAGTGGCGCCTTGGTGGGGCCTCGGGGTGGGCTCCCCCCGTGGTCGCTGGTACTAAAGGTCTTAGTGCCACTGGTCTCCGTCTCCGTGCCACTCCGACTACTTTAGCCTTCTCCGTCACAGCTAACCCTAACCAAAAAAGCACAAGTGGTCTGTGCGGGCCAGATCCCTGTGTGCCTTTTCCCTGTCGGGGTGGGTGCATTAGGCGCAGTAGCTGCAGTAGGTGCAGCAACCACTCTGTAACCCCCCCTGGTCGCCTACTCGTTGTCTGCTCCCAGCTTCTGTCCCGGCATTGTGCAGCCCCGAACCTGCCATGTCTTCTCCCCTCCCCCCCCCACCCCCCCACAATAGACCAATACCTCATCTTGCATCTGAGAGCATATATCCACACATATAGAGCTTGTCAACTGCACGCTATCTGTATACCCTGTCAATATCCCCACCATTCCCTTTTACTCCCTATGTACTTTCGTTTTATTCGGCTATACCACTGCTGCCTCTTTGCTTTGTGGACGCCTCGATATTTCCTCCCCCTCTTCTCATTTGTCTGTATTCTCCGCGCCTGCAGGGTTCCCTGACTTGCATTCCTCCAGCCGCTAGCGCATTTCCTAAACGGTTCGCCCCCTTCCGTCATTATTCCCGCTCCCAGTCACTTACCTCCTTAGGCCTAGTGTCTTTCCTTTGTAGGATTTCCTTTTTCTTTTTTCCTTTGACTTTTTTTACTTTCTGGGGCTTTTTTCTCCCCTTTTATATTTATTCCTATTGTAACTTTGTAATTTTCTGATTCGATTATTCGGCTCTTCTTCAGCCACAGCGCCACAGATGATCTTTATACTTGACTCTGACCCAGTGGAGCCCAAATGTGACAATGCACACGCGCCCCCCCCTTTTATTTCAGCAGTCCTCAGCCTGTTCAGTCCACAGCAATCCACACCTCCCCCTCCCGAAATAAGAGGTCCCCCCTCTCCCTCCTAACCCACCCACTACCTGATCCTTGTTTGAGTCTACCATATCCCTACCGCATCTAGCAGAACCTTCGATCGCCCCATGGCGTCATGAGGAACTGTAGTGGGTTCAGAGGCTCCACTGAAAATGGACACACATCCTTCACTCTCCCACCCCCCATTCCGTGTGTGCAGGGTTTGGCTAGCCGACCCGCTGCTGTTGCGTAGTAGTCTATAGGTCAGTTGTGAAACACTGGCAAACGGACAGGGGCCTGCCAACGCACATTCCCTCCGCCAATGGCCTCGGGTACCCGATGATGAACCAAATCGTTGTCTGGCAGGCGCAGATCTCCCCTGGGTTACACAGCCGCTGGGATGGGGGCGAAAGTCAGAATGGGTCGCGTTTGGGAGATGTGGGACTCACCAGCATTCGCTAATCCTTGTCAAAAGTCCGTCACATTCCCATTTCCCCGGATGAGACAATCCGATCCTTCGAACGCCCATTTATGTACAGTCCAATCGTCCATGTACCTGTGTGCATGCTATCGGGGCGGATCTGGCGTACACCCCCCCTTCGGACCCCTACAGCCGGGCCAGATGATGCACTAGGGAATTTCCTCGGGACTTGTGCCCTACGCTCCACGTAAGAAATCAGCCGCGCGCATACTAGAACCCACTGTGGAGACTTCCGGCTCCGAGCCATTACCTAAGGCCGTGTGAGCCTCTTGCGGAAAGGAAAGGGGGGAGGAATGTATAGGCCTAGGGCAGAAGAAGAACGATGAGCCACTGCACGATGCTTCAGGCATGACTTCAATATGGGGGTGGGACTGTGCAACCTGCCAAACTCACGATTCGTCCAGGCTGTCGCAAGGTATCGCACATTCAACCTCCTCGGTTGAAGAGGGACGACGCATCGTCGCAATGCTTGGCCCCGTGACTCGATGTTTCCTCGAACAAATCATTTCCCCTCTAGTTATTAGAGATAAAGACCGCGTTTGAACATATCGCGAGATATATCAGACTATGTCTAGCATTGCAATCGCCATTCTTCTTGTATTGATCCAGGTTCGATCAAAGCAAGCGATTGCAGATCCGCCTAGTCGGAACGGTTGATGTACGACCCGCGCCGCCAAGCGGGGAAACATGAATCATAATGCAAAGCATGAATATATCAAGTCCCGAATCGGAAAATATTGCGTATATTCCCGTCCTAGCTCAAGGATCACCATATCACTACATTCGATATCGATCGCGCTCTGCTCAACTTTAATCAGTCCGTGCGGGCAGGAGACTACCGTGGCAGACACCACAAGTCTGTACCTACAGAGTCCGTATACGTAAAATAAAAGTACCATAGGTCTCAGGTACAGCTATGTGACAATCAGATCGAGACCATGCACCTTCGGATTAAACTAGAATGGCTGGCTACACTAATACGCTGGGGAACGCGAAGGAGCTCCGGCATGGATTACCCCGGACACAATCCCAGCCCCTTCCTGTGTGTCCCAGCAGCATGGCAGATAAGAGCACTGGTCTATGTAGCCCGGCTGGTTGGCTTTCCAATGCAGCTCGACATCGGATCAGTCAGTGCGCCATGGCGGCGACCGTGCTGCAGCCACAGATCAGGCAGCCCGAGATGGATGGACTCGGGAATGCGGTTTGATCGAGTACCACAGCAACGGTGATCGACTGACCCTTTCCGCTTGTCATTTGCTTTTTTTCTATTGTCTTATACAGGTACTTTTATCTACCTTGGATCGGCTTGCTTTCCTTCCACCTACCTGCTTCTCAAAATCAATGAAAATGTTGGTGTCTTAGTCAATTGATGGCCCGGGCCATGATTGCCTTTTGCTTTGGGTATGCCTGGACTGCGCTGACTGAGAATTATACTGGTACTTGAACTCCGTACACATGAAGCGATCGAGAGTGATGATTGGGTTCGGCTTTCTACTACTCTGTAAGGAAATTACATATATGCATCCATGGATGTAACTTCATATTGCTTTTTCCGAGTTTGGAATGTGTGTTCGCACAAAGAGAATTCAGTAGCTAGTGTACTAGGCTATATATTTTGGGTGCTCGTGCGGCTGAGATTCACCCCTGGAACTTCAAATTGCCCACTGGCAGGTGGTTGATTGTAATTTACGAACTAGTAATCGAAACCGACCGTTCTCTGACGAGAGTCCTTTTAAAAAGATGAGCTCTATGCTAAGACATCCTGGAATATGTGTTCTGATTGGATCAAGGAAGGTTAGCATGAACTACGGAGTACTATCAGGAGCGAATTTTTGACGGGCCGCAGATCGAGAGCCTGGACTGGGCCCCACACCTAAGTTTTTCAAGACATCTGAGTCCCATCCACAAACAGTCTAGGAAAAATTTGAAATCGAAAATGAAAATAATATGAGGATTTCTGATCGACAAAGCATAAAACCCACCGAACTCTATGTACTGCATACTAGTTTGTACATAGTACGGTAGCACACTAATTCCCCTTCGGACCGGCAATGCGCCTTCCCGAGATTCGCGCCATTTGACTTTTTCCCTTGAGAAACAGCGCTCAGGTCAGCCCTAGACCAAGGGAGTCTGACCTTGTTCTCCACAAGCCTAGAAATGCTTGACAGGAAGCAGGGGACGAGCTGATCTTCCACATCATGCGTGCCCGGGGCCCTGCGGCTGATCATCCCTTGCAGTATGCAGCATACTGCGGATAGGCTTGATCTATCGCTGCGCCTAAATCATATCTCGATGCAGTACGGAGTACATACGGAGTGCTCTGTACGAAATGCCGATGCATGATTGCAGTCGCAAGGCTATGCAGATCACTGTAAACAGTAGCCTATGCACCCCTATGTACACACGTCTCGTTGCCATTGGCTTGTTAAAGGGGCCAGCAGCGTTTGCCTTGACTGATAAGTCTGTTGAATCCATTGGCATGGAGAGTGCAAAAATACCTAAATTGTTTTTCTTCCTAGCCTATGTACCTAGATACAAACAATTGATCTCACTATATTCTCACTGAAGGGCTCTCATGATATATGCATACTGCTACCATGCGGTAGTAAACAGTTTCGTGTCACTAAGGGGGCTAACCGCTGCCTGCATCCTTGTTTGAAAATGTGCGAGAAGCTGAGTGCAGAATAAGTGAAGTGCCAGGAAACAAAACAAAGAAAAGCCCCCGAGCCTCCCCTCAAGAGAGATCATTGACTATGAACGGGACCAAAATTCAGCTGTTAGACGAAATGTGGAGTGAAGAAGATTGAAAACGAGTCGGTGTCAGAGAGAGGACCCACAAACCCACATGGAGTGAGGAAGAATCTCCCATCCGCCGGTCAGTATTGTTGTCAGTCTTTTGTAGGGCGGACTTTGGAACCGGTGGCACCGACCAATCCAAGCTTCTGCAATGAACATTCGATTGACACCCACCCGATTGGTAGAGCGGATCCCCTCGAAACCATCGGTGTCGGATTACAGCGCATGAACCTCCGGGGGCGTTCTTTGACATTGTACGGAGCACGAAGGACATAGTATCTGGAGTCCCGGCCGCAGTGGGGTGAGATGCACGGCCACGGGAGAAAAACTTGGAAGATGTGAAAGATCTACACCCACCCACCCTGTCGTGGTGTGGTGACAGCTCATGATCGACTTACAGATGATCAGCCGAATTACTCTCCGAGCTCGGCACAGCTGATACGATAGACAGAGTCGATGTCAACCCGAAACGAGATCATCCTCCCGTCATCTGCGGAGCACATACGAGACAGGGGAAGTCCTATCGCTACTCGACGTGCCCGCATTATGTATTTCTTTGATACTGTTGCCTTCAGCGCCCCAATGTGACTGCAACAGAGGAAAATATCTGGCTACTCTGGGCAGTTTCAGGTTCGGGCTTTCAGGGTTCAAGGCCACAAGAAGCGCGGCCCAATGGCAAGGAGGAGGAAGAAAGCCCAAGCCAGGGCCACGCAACACCCCGTATTTGACCGCCCAGCCAAGCGCGGCTCGCGAGATTCCTGCAGCATGTGGGAGCTGCCGAGCAAATCTGGGCGAGTGAGCCAAGAGATGAGCAGTTGACGAAACAAAGACGAGCGAGACAGGGCGGGTGCAACAACCCGCCTCTGATTTGTGATTTGTCTTGGTTTTCGAGTCATCGGACCTGATGAAATGAGAGTGAGGAAGCCAAGACTCCCGGACTACTACCAGGGACGAGGGGCAAAATGCGTTATCAAGGCATGGCATCATTTTTCGAAGGACGGGAAGATCGTACAGAGCACACTTAGATCACACATGGCTGAGCCCAAGTCCGTGTCCAAGATCAAGCCCAAGCCTAAGTAGGGTAGGTACTGGCGTGTGCGGTCTGGCGATCATGAGGGATGTGCATCTTCGTGCCCAGGAACCTAAGTGCAGACTATTGAGGGGGTTACCTAATAAATATTGAAATGAAAGCACACAGAAATTTTGCACTATACAGTCCAATCTGTTTTTTTTTTTTTGTTACGGAGTACCCCCTCCCCTTCCATTTTCGATTCAGAGCAAATGAAATTTGCCAAATCTCTCGGCGTCTGGGCAGGCTCGGCACGCGGGTCACCGAGGTTATGTGGCTGGACGGACAGTTGTTATAATCCGGCGAGCGGTGTATCGGAAGAAGTTGGTCGTAAGTATACTTATTATTGTATATATACCTAGGTACTGGTATAGAATGGTAAATATCTAACCTTGTACGGAGTAGATATTGCATGTTTGTAATCTAATACTAGTACGGAGTACACTGGCAGTAGCGTGGCATGCCCGAAAGTCTTCACTGGATCACGTGAAATACCAGATGAATGCCAAGGCGCCCCACTAGGTGGTGTTTCACCAATAAACCACCGCATTCGGTGGCTCATCATCTAGTCTGCATCTTGGCATCTTGGCGATTGGTAAAACATCGTAAATTGATGCGTGGGACAGGCCTTGTCCAACCTATCTTCAGCACCATTCCACGAGGGACAAAATGAAGAAATGTATCAAGATGCTTAATTTCAGCATCTTCCTGACTGAGTATTCCCCATGGAATGACAATTAACGAGGGTATCGTGGTGGAGGCCTCGAGCCTCGAAAGGATGCCAAGGGCTCGGCATCTGGGCGCCTTGGCAAGAGAACCTGCAAACAGTTGCGTCCTCCTCCGCTGCCATGGCTTTCCCTGGCCCTTCCGCTGTGTCTCGGTCTTATAAGACTGCGTTTCCGCCCTAGCTCTTTCCCTGACTGTGTTTCGTGGTGGGAAAAAGTTGGCTCGTCTTTCGTCTTCCGCCCTTCCCTCTTGCCCCAATCGCCCCCGCCCCCTTATAAGGCCTCGAATCGTGCCCTTGGCTAGGGAAAACCATGCGCCGTGAGCTCCCTAGTCCGTAAGTCGCCCTCTGTGCGCTTTGTACGACCTTCGGCTGCTCGCCTTGCTCTTCGCCCGTACTCCGGCTCGCCATGCGGTCTCCGGAGATGTCATATACTCCAGCCTACCACCAAGGTCAGGGTAATATCGGCATGACGAATAATTCGATTCGAGCCCCTCCACCCCGTCGATCTCCAGATCATCCCGAGCCGAAGTATCCAAGTCCAACCCGTCCCTCCTTTGAGTCAAAATCTTACGACGCGAGCCCCCGCTCGTCTGGTCCGCGGGGATCTAACGCCTACTCCCCAGAGGCTTCTCGACGGGCATCCCGAGCGGAGGACGATCCAGCTGTAACTCGGATTGTGGTACCTACTAGTCCAGCCCACAAGGAAGAACGCAGCCGCGGTAGCTGGGCTGACCAGCCCTCATTGATGTCGGGCGAGCAATCGGGCACCTCGCGCACTCATAAGCGCTCGTCCCCGGACGACAATCGTTCTGATGACGGCCAGGACGCACTGCTCATGCTGGTAGGTCTCTCTACGCCGTTGGATTCGTGTTTAGATCGCAACTCTTACTAAACTAATCTCTTGATATAGTTCCGACTTTCTGTCCCTGTCCCAGTATACTCCTTCGCGGCCTGTCTATATACCTGCTGTGCACTCCTCTTCGCCATATTGACGGCACCACTTCGTCTTTGCTCCCTATCAGCATATCTCAGCAAGACATCCTTCTCCTCGCACCTTTGCGATCTCCTCTCCCCAGTCCTTCACATCCATGAGCGTCTCGTCCACATGCGACCTCCCACATCAAACCGCTCTTCCTCCACACAATGGATTCACTCCGAGATCGACACCGACCCGTCAGAAATGGAGAGCTCGTGTAGAGATTATTCCGTTGGCATGTCCATCGGGGTCCTATTACTCTCTCCATTCTTCAGTATCGCCATCCTCTTGCTTGCATGGACTGCCGCCTTCTTCTGGGTCTTCACCATGATGATGGGAAACCCAGACGGAACCGAACGCAAAGACGACGGCCGCGCTGCTGTCATCGGAGTTTGCAAGTGGTGGAGAACCTGGTTGGCCAAAGCCCGGAACCCATCATGACACCGGGCCTCCTTCCCCTCCTCCTCCATCGCCCACCTCACCTGAATGTGAAAATCTTCCCCACACGGGAAGAATGATTCTATCAGTCCTCATACCGGACCACAATAATAATGGTCTCTTTTGCATTGCATAGACTCATTTCTGCGTGGTAACCGAGAAAGAGTGACACGCAGAAAACGAACCTAACCTCATCCCTTCACCTGCCGATATTACTTACCCTTTTGTCTCCAAAAGAGAGACCTATGATTATACACTCATCTTCGCATCATATATGATGCAACCCGGAGTTTGGATTCGGAGTCTGCCTTTCTGTTTAATGTTGCATGGCGTCTCTAGGAAGCAGGCGCATAAATACCTCCGTGACCTTATCGTTGACTCGCTTCCCCCAAACCCTGTCTATGTGATTTTTCTTGGCGGGCCTTTTGCCTTTTTCTACCCTTTTTCTCTTGCTTTCTTGCAGATCATTGAGAAAGGCGCATGCCATTTCTTCTGGGATACTGCGCCCGTCTGTACTTTTATGTCTGATGCCTTTTTATCTGCGAGAGAGGGGAGTGTATGTATGCCTGCTTGTCTGAACGCGAATTGATACCCGGTTTCTTTGGTTGAACTTGTTGCTCTCGAACTTGAGTCTGTAAATCCACCCTTGTCACGGTGTTGCCCGTAAATATCTCGAAAATATTCAAGATTTCCCAGGTGGGAGACGTCTCGTTATTACTCTCGAGCGGGTAAGCGTAAGCATAAGTACTAGTGCTACTTAGCTCCAGTCGGAATCGTTCTCCGATGTATGTCAACCTCGGTAAAGCTTACTATGAAGATTCAGTGGAATTGGATTAATCTGTAATAGAATCGATTGCAACATATTTAATCTAGAACATCATGCGAATCACCCATACATCAGCTCACATGGCTCTCGAGGCTCTTGACAGCCTGGCTGATCTCATGAGTAGCAGGCTGGCTAACCACCTCGCTGCTTTTCTTCACCTTGCTCCGCACGCGGAAAAGCCAGTAAAGCAAAATGGCAGCACAGATATTGAACACAATGTAAGCAAATAGTATCCCGAAGTCCCTCCAGACTTGGTGCGGTTCAACGGAAACAGCCTGCAAAAAAGCGTTCGTGTTTGACATCGGGCAGAAAGAACAAGCACTCGTCGCCGATGGAATTTCCACATACCCTCCAGCATTCTGGATGAAATCCGCCATGTATTCCCCACAGGTCATTTTAGCTGCGGGCTCAAAATTCAGAAACTCCACATTCGAGCAGGTGACCTTGGTATCCGACACAGAGGTAGCAAGTAAGCCCGAAACCAGGTAATTGAAAGGCGAGATGCGGTACATCCAGATCCAGAAATGCGGGAAAACTGTGGGGCCTGCGAGGACACCGCAGAACAGGAGGCTCATATTGAAGCACATATTGGCTATATTCCCTGCAGTCTCGGCATTTGGGATGGCTGAGATAGCGAAATGTGCAAAGGTACTTGAAAACGCCAGGAACTCCATGATGAGGAGGAAAGCCTGCGCGCCTCTCAGATGGACACTTTCTGTTGGTTCTGCGTTCTGATAGAGGCCAACAGGGTAGTACCAGCAGAAAAAAGGATCACGGAGCTTAGTAGTGCCCAGGGCATTTCGACTAAGATATTGGAGAGCATAAACGCAACCCAAGAATAGACCTTGGATGGGCGCTCACGAGCCTCGTAAAGTGAACGCTGTGTGACAAACTGGGGCATCACTTGTTGAGCGAGCATGCCGAAATTGACCATAAGCATGAACAAGCTGAACATCTGATTTTGCAGGCCGCGCTGTGAATTGGCTTCGTTGTAAAACGAGAAGCCAATAAAAATTCCCTATATAGCGAATATTAGAAAAAAGCAAGCGTTTCAAGGTTCAAAATGTACATACCGAACCTCCTACGAGGCTGATCTTAGCATAGATATAACCTGGCGTTCTCCAGTATTGCTGGAAAATTCGTATCAACGTTTGCAATAGCTGAAGCGAAAGCGATGTCGCGAATTCAGTGTATGAGCTATTTCCCTGCAGTATCAAAGGAGGCTCCTGGTTTGGCAGAACATCTTTCCATTCCTCGAGCTGAGCCTTCACAGCAGTTCTTTCGGGCGACTGTCTCCAGACCTCGGGCCAGTCAATATCCGTATGGGAGCCAGGCGCAGCCCCGATAACTTCCAGCATATACTCGGCGGGGTTTGCATCGCCAGTGCATTGGTAACCTCCATTTCTTTCGAAGTACTCCAGGAGAGTTGATGCAGACGGACCGACCGGTCCAAAATATACTGTCCTGCCACCCCTGCAAGGAGGAGCAGTCTATCGAACTGCTGGAATAGCATAGCGGATGGCTGGTGGATTGTGCATAAAATTGCCTGTCCATTGTCTCTCAGTCTTCGGAGTAACTTCAAGATTGACCACGAGGTTTGCGAATCAAGACCCGACGTCGGCTCATCTAGGAAAAGCAGAAGCTCCGGTTTGGCAGCCAGTTCCACTCCTATAGTGAGCCTTTTTCTTTGCTCGACATTTAATCCTGTGAGAGTATGAGTAAACAGTCGCACCATTGAACTTCCCATGGGGTTATACTCCTACCTTCTCCAGGAACTCCTACCACGGCATCTGCTATGTCTTCCATTTCCAATAGTTGAATGACTTGATCAACGTAGGCTAGCTTTTCGGAACGTGAATAACGGTCGGGCTGTCGCAGAAGAGCACTAAAATTAAGAGCTTCTCGAACGGTGGACGTCTCCAGGTGTAGATCCTGTTGCTGAGCGTAACCTGTCTTCCGCTGGAAAGAGTCATCTCTTTGTTTCCCGTTGACAAGCACCGTGCCATATATGACACCCATGGTTACTCTGCTAGCCAAAACGTCCAGGAGAGTTGTTTTCCCAGCCCCGGATACACCCATCAACGCTGTGGGAACTTTTGTTATAAAGGTTCACTATTGAATGTCGAGCCATAGATACGAATCTTACCAGTTAATGTACCAGGACGGACCCATCCGTCAACACGATCAAGAATGAGGCGCGGCTTGCCTGAGATTTCGATCTCGTAGCTGACATCTTGCCATTGGAATGTCGCAGTCTGTCGAACAATTCCGACCTCGAGATCACCTGGGGGGTTTTCCGAAAGTCGTTGGGAGGTGATACCCTCATTCTCACTTTTCCCTTGTCCGCTCTCAACATCGTTCGTAGCCAGCCTCAGATGCTGGGGTATCTTCCGTCGTGGAAAGACCAGAACCTCCCCCTTCGACTTTTTGGCGGAGATAAAATCCGTAGCCGCAAGGTACATGGCAGTAAACATAAACCAGAAGGCGATCAAAACCCCGATGTTACGCCACTTGTGGGAGTGACTGTATTGGAACGAGGATTCCAGGTAAGCGTCACCGCTCACCCATGTCTGTCCAGCAACCGAACCCACCGCTGAGCAAACACGGCTCGAAGAGTTTTGGCTATATCCTGGCCCCGTTGGGATAAAGGTTGAACAGTCAAAGTTGCGGCCATGAAACTCATTGATCATCAAAGCCTCAAATCCATATGCGATCGGGTCAACCCAGTTGATCCAACGAGCCCATCCATGCATATATTCTGTAGGCATGGGAAATCCGGAGTAGATAACTAGGCCTATTGTTGCAATGGTGGCCGGTGCTATTGCCTCACCCAGTGTGCGAGAGACGGAAGCTACCGTTCGAAACATGCTTGACATGACCAACATTGTGAGAAATGATACCAAGAAAAAGAAGAAGAAAGCCCCCGAGGTCAATCTGAGGCCAGTCATGAAGTAGAGGATGATGTTGAACAGGATCGAATTGAGAAATTTAAATGGCAGACCCGTCAACATTGATGCGAGCGCTTCGGCGGAGGGGCGATAGAGGGCATAACGTGCATGCTTCTCTACAATTGGTCGCTGGTCATAGAGAGACATCATCTCTAGCTGGCTGCTGAAAGCATTCGTAAGAGTGGCAAAGAAAATCAGCGACCCGCGAGAGAAGAAAGCGCCCGTATCCGGCTTCAATTGGAAATAAAGGCTACTGATTATGAGCATTGCGAGAGCTTGTCCGACAATTTGGGTAATTTGCAGCTCGGGATCTGCGCGGACGCGTTCAAAGCCTCTCCATAGACAAAGACGGATTTGCTGGGCGTAAGACATAATAAATGGAGACTTGGATGATTGGAAATTGGCCTTCTGGAGACGTATCGACTTCCGGAAGTTTTCAAAATCGGGCCCCCCCGAGTGGATGATCATTGTTGTATTCATCGATCTCTTTGAGAAGTTGTGTCCGCTCTGGACTTAACATCCAAGTCTGAGCAAACTCATCAGGGGTACGAGGCACTCGATTCTCAAATCCTGTGCGTACACGGCGTTCAGTCGGACTTGTCATGGAGGTCAGAAAATCCGGGGTTGTTTGGCGCTCGGGAGAATGAAACCCTAATCTCACGAAATAAGGACGAGCCCGAGCTGCAGGACCAAAGAATATCTGTCGGCCTTGATAAAGAACCTGTACCTTGTCAAATTGATTGTATGCTGTTTGGGGCGCCTGGTAGATCGCAACGGCCTCGGTCATTCCGACCAACCTGGAGGTCATTCTTAGGGTCTTGCAGAACTCAATTGCGTTGACGCTATCCAACCCGCGGGTACTATTGTCCCAACACTGAAATGGTGAGCCACCTAGAGCGGCTTCTGCAATGCTCACTCGCTTCCTCTCTCCACCACTGACGCCTCGCACGTATTCGTTCCCGACCTTGGTGTTGACGGTGTGACTAATTCCGAAGATTGCCATGTAGACATCCCGGATGTGTTTGGCCCAGGCCCGACGATCAATATTTCCAGGCGGCTGTCGGGGTGTCCTCGCAAGAGCTGCGAACTCGAGAGTGACACCAACCGACAGCTGGGGGAAATGAACATCTTGCTCTGCAGTGTAGACGACTTCTCCTTGAAATTGCGAATGCATATCCTTGAAAGGGATTCCATGGTAGTTGAACTCGGAGTTTGGATCAAGAGTGATGCCATGTGTTTCTCCACAGATTGTTTTCAGGAAAGTACTGCATCCTGAGCCAGGTCGTCCCAGAACCACGAGAAGCTCGCCAGGGCGGATCAATCCTTCAAGATTGTGTAAGATGTGAACGCGGTGGTTTCTTTTGTTGATCGATGATCTGATATGGTCGAAAAATCTCCAGACAATGCTGCTAACGGTAGCCTGTGTGTTCGTGATGGTACTCGAGCCGGACACATTCAAGCGTTTGAAAGCCACGCCCGCGACACGTACCGGGCATTCTTCCTTTGAAACCAACTGCAACATTGTCTTCACACATTTCTCTGGATTGAAAGAGTCTGACGCAGGATTCAGATCCGAATCCTCATCGACTGTGTATGGGTTAAGTGGTATTTCTGGTGTCGTGAAGCCTAAATCCTTTTCCGCGGTAACCACAACCATAGCATCATGGTCATTGTCAGTGTCAATGTCAATGTTTTGGTGGTCCATGCTAGCAGTGTAGATGGAAGGTGAGGTGAGGGAAGGTAAGGTGAGAGGAGATAGAGGGAGAGAGGGAGAGGAAGAAGGAGAGAAAGAGGGAGCTCCGGAGAGAGAGGAAGAGAGAGATAGAGAGGAAGGGTGTTCACATTAGGCAAGTGCAGGTGTTGTGACTCAAGGAAACTGAAAATTTTCCTGGTGCAACTGTGGTAGGTTGTAACTTACGGAAGGCACGATGGTGATCTCGTTAGTACCTACGAGGCTACAAGTAGAGTAGTAGTAGTAGTACCTAGTTGCTGGTTGCTGGCTGCTGAGGCCAATGAGCTTCTCTTCTCTTCCCTTCCAACCTCAACCATATCTATACCACCACCCACATCTACCATGCAAAACCAAGAAGCTTTCTATGGCTACTATTACAACGTCCAAAACAGTGGCGGAGCAGTCTTCATGGCTGTCGTCTTCCTCGTCCTCACCCTATGTCATTTCTGGAAAGTCTTCACCACCCAGAACTGGTTCGGTCTCGCCATCGTGAGTGGGGGAATCTGTATATCCAACCCCAACAATCTTCTCCAAATCCCTATCTAGAGGTCCGCATGCTAACTTTGTCATTGTTCAATCATCTAGTCGAATTCGTGGGTCTCTCGGCACGAGCCTGCTCTCATAGCACACCCACCGTCAGAGCGCCCTTCGACATTCAAGTCGTATTCATCTTCCTCGCACCCATGTTCTTCGCCGCATCCATGCATTTATTCCTTGATGGAATGATCCTCGCCTCACGACACAGATTTCTCTCCTTAATCAAACCGACCTGGTTCCTCCCAATCTCTTGCGTCGGCGACATGCTCTCATCCATCCTCCAAGCCGTCGGTGTCGCTCACCTCGTGAAAGCAAAAACACGAAGCGCAGCCACCGTAGCAAGATAGCAAGATACATCATGCTCTCTGGACTCGCTGTGCAGATTGCATTCGTTTTGCTCCTCGTGTTATGTCTGATCGTCTTCTCGCTCCGGGTGAACTCGCCCTATCTGGCGTTGTCGGTAGATCCCAACATCCGGCTCAATACAAATCTGCGGTGGCTGGGTGCATGCAGTCTCTTGATCGTTGTTCGGAATATCACGCGTATGGTTGAGTTCCAGGGCAGTCTTGAAGCTTACTTTGACAGCCATGAATGGACGACGTATATTCTGGATGTCATTTTGATGATGCTCTTCAGGGTTTTCACCGTGTCTTGGTATTCGCGCGGTAGTGGGAGTCATTGTCTCAGAAATAGCTATCCGTTGATGCCTCGGAGCCGCAATCTTTGAGCCGCCTGCATCCAAGTTGTCTTCAAGTTGGGCCGTTTGGTACTGGACATGCTGGCTAGGAAGCATGGGCCGGGGTGTACATAGCCTCGCACTAGAGAATGAGCCTGAGAGGTTGGGCCTGCAGCTTTTGTCTTACATAGCATCATCGAAGTATGGACAGTATTCTTCTTGAATTCAACTTCAATTTGACGGGGAGAGGAGTGTCAGGGTAAATTTTAACAGCATCAACCTTGTTCCCTCTTGATTGATTGATCGGTTGATTCATACTAGCATCAGCTGGGGGCTAATCCTCAACCAATGCGGGTACGAACCTATCAATCAATCAATCAAGATGAAACAATGGAGGTGCTGAAAACCGAATACGATGTTGTAGTTGGAACACCGTGTTGCTTGGAAAAGAACTCATTTCGGTGCCAAACGAACGCAATTTGACAAGAGCGAAAAGAAATTCGTAGAAGGTGGAGTTAGTAGTTTGAGTGGGATCACCCGATGTATGTACTTATACTTCAACTATGTGCAATAGTAGATAGATACACCCCACCCATAAAGAGTAGAAAAAACCCAATCATCATTTGTTCAAAAACGTCTCACCCGCTGCGCAGCCAAAGGCGAATCCACAGCCTCCAGCTCCGCATCATCGTAGTCATCATCATACACCAAGTCGAATTCTTCATCCTCGTCAAAAGAGGGACTCACATGGACCGCAGGCGAGGAGACGGGACTCAATGCAATCCGCGGTCTCGATTTGAAAACACTCGCATAATCGGCATCTTCTTGAAAGAGTTGATCCTGCGGTGTTGATGCGCGGGAGGGAATACTAGCAGGCTGGGATATTTTCCGGGGCGTCTCGAATTGGTTGGTTGGGAATGAAGGACGGGGACCGCGGCGGCGAGGTCGGGGGTTTTCGTGGGAAGGGAGGGGTGGAATGAGGGACATTGATTTGCGGGTTCGTTCGGCTAAGGTGTAGTTTTGTGGTGGCTGTTGTCGTTGTTTTAGGGGTTCAGGTTCTTGGAACAAATCTAGTTGTTCCGTAGAGTGTTGGTCTGGAGAGAGGCGGACGATTGGAGGCGATGAGTGTAGATTGTCCTGGTAGTCACTTGTCCGAATATCTGGGGGACTGAAGGTTGAGGGTGGGCTGATGGGGTTGGTCATCTCCAGAGGTGAGGGTGATATGTTTTGATCACTTGGTTCTTCTGACGAGACCCACGGTGGTGATTGTGAGACTAGAGGTTCCGTATTCCGGACAGGGCGAGTTTCGAAGCGCTCCACCTTGACATTGATGCATGCTATAGCTTCATTGACACTTGACATGAAGGATTGATCTGTTTCTTTCAGCGACCTTCCACGGTCACCAGGCTGCCGCACCGCTTTGGATATGCTGGCCACCGTCATGGCTTGGTGATCTCGAAACTGCACGCGAGGCTCGGCAGATGTGATTCCAGCTGAATTGGAATTGTCGCCAAGCTCATTCCGGAGCGAATCGTTGTATTCATGCCATCGGCGCAGGCGACTCCGCAGACGCAAGACCCGTGCCTCCAAGTCAACAACCAGATCGGATTTGACACCTCCACCTAGACCGTCCAAACTAGATTCTTTCGCGCGTGCCCAAGCTTGCGAAAATGGAAGTTCCAAGAACCCATCTGTACTGCTGTGTGATCCACTGTCGAGTAAAGTGATAGCCCACTCCTCGCTGCCCAGCCAGTTCGCTTGAAGCTCTTGAGCCAGTCCCGCCGTTTTCACCCCTTCGTAGTTCGGAAGTTTTTCGGATTGAAGACTGGCTCGCTGCGTAAGGTCTACCTTCTTGTTATCCAGAAGTTGCGAGACCTGGTTGTATGTCTCGTGCGCCTGTGCGCGGCGTCTCCCTGTTGCGCCAAGAGACACCTGGTGGGCAAGGACTAGGGGCAGGAGATTCTGGTAGTCCGTCGGGGATATAGCTGCCGCAGTAGCGACCTTCAGGGCTTGATTCCAGGGTGTATCAAGTGCGGAAACGGCAAGAAGCTTGCGGAGGACGGCGGTCGAGAAGACAGCGAGTAGCTCATCGAATTTCTCCCCTTACAGTCGTCCAGCATTGTCTTGCGGAGAATAGTTTCCCGACCCAGGTCGCCATTTTTCTTCAGTTCACCGAGCGAGCGGAACAAGGCGGCGCGGAGGTTCACAGATTGTAGGGGTTCTAGCGGTGGAAAGAATGGTCGGAGTTTCTGGTATATCGAAATCAGATCAAATTAGCATGCTCCTCTGGTGAAAGCAAGGGGGGGTCCAATTTAGGTTGCGAACATTTTGAGCATATTCTGGATCCCAGATTGCGAATAGATAGTAGAGAGCCCATTCTACCAGGCGGATTCGCTGTCGTTGATTCTGGGATGACGGAGATAGTGCGCGGAGAGTGATGTCGGGCCAATCGTCGCGCTGGTCCAGTTGGAGGAGTTTGAGGTTTCGGATAAAGACAGTCAGAGGTGGAGGAGACACCCAGTCTAGGGGCTTTGGCCGAGCGGGCCTCGATGCCATGAGGAGGAGGGGAGGAGGGGAGGAGGGGGTCAAGGAAGTACAAATTAATTAAAGGCGGGACCGGGGGAGATGATGCTAGGTCACTCCCGTTAGTACCTTCCTAAGGTTAGAGGGTAACCAGCCAGTCGCAGCTGCCCTGAAGCGTTGGTAAACAAAGCGATAAGCCCTTATCAGTCCCGCCTTTGGACCCATGGTTCTCAAAGTCTCCCCTCGTTTTCTTTTGATCTTCACCTCATTTTAACCCAAGATCCCCTGATATTTCCTTTCCACTCTCCTTCTATCCTCTTTCTGCGCCATGGGGTCCGACAATTCCTCTTGGACTCCTCACACCGGTAAGCCCAGCCACACTCCCCTCTCACCAATCTCTGCTTCTGACCCTCAACAGTCCTTTCGACTCTCCCCCACCCCCCAGAAGAGAACACCACCTCGCCCATCCCCTTCTTCCACCTCCTCGAACGCCTCAAGACCACCAAGCGCGAAGGCTGGCGCCGCTTCGGAATCAATGGCGAATCCATCTCCGACCACATGTATCGCATGTCGATCATGACGATGTTTGCCCCGCCAGAATTGGCATCTAGGCTGAATATCCCCCACTGCACCAAGATGGCTCTCGTCCACGACATGGCCGAGTCACTGGTCGGCGACATCACCCCGGTCGATGTGCACATCACCAAGGCCGAGAAGGCCAGCCGCGAGGCCGCCGTCATGGAATACATCACTACTTCCCTGCTGGGCCAGGTTCCCGGCAGCGCATTATCGGCCCAGGAAATCAAGCGCGTTTTCGAGGAATACGAGGAGAATGTCACCCTGGAAGCGCAATTCGTGCACGATATCGATAAGATGGAATTGCTGCTGCAGATGGTCGAATACGAGCGCTCCAATGATGTCGATCTCACCGAGTTCACGCGTGTCGCGGCCCGTGTCCAACTACCCGAGATCAAGCTCTGGGCCGAGCAGGTGGTCAAAGAGCGTCCCCAGCGCAAGTGAAAGGGTTTCTCAATCTGGCATTAGCAGACTGATTGAACCTCTGCTCGCATAAGGATTAACCAGGCGTTTCTTTCATTGTTTCCCCCCCGTTCTTTTTTGTTAGATCGGACTTTGGGATTCCCTAGATACCATAGAGAGACATGGCGAGAGTTGAGGAGGTGATTTACAGAGGTGCTTTACGAAGGATGCATGACGATGAATGACTGCACAAGGCTTTTCGGGAATAATTGCGTCTTTGCCTTTATCAATACACTTATTTGCATATACCCCAGGGTACCTTCTATTTAATTGAAACTGAGAACCACCCATCGGAAGCTTCGTTTATCTCTCTTCCTCCATCACCACCACCGCTTCAATCAACGGGCTCCTTCTCCATTTCTCGCGCCAGCATCTCAGCCTCAGCCTTCATATCCTCCGGCCCACGCGGTTTACGATCTTTATCATCAACAACAGGGAATCTCGTCCTGGTTTCCGCACGCTCCGAGCTAGAATCACCAGCCTCGCGGAATACCTTGCCGACATCGCCTTCTTCCCCATCCAACATATCGTAGATAGCATCCGTGCCACCGCGGTGATCTAAGTCTGTCGCCCTGCGCGGGATAATATGGCAGTGGACATGTGGCACGCTCTGTCCTGCATTCAGACCATCCTGCACGGCGATATTCAGAGCCGAGGCGCCGTGTGTCCTTTCGACCATTCGTCCCACGCGCCGGACGGTGAGGAATAGATCGCTTGTTTCGGCGGCGGTTAGGTCTGAGACGCGGGGGACGACGCGGCGGGGTGAGACAAGGACATGGCCTGGTAAGATTGGTTTCAGGTTCACGAGGGCGTAGGTTAAGGGTGTTGTGTAGAAGACCTGCGGTAATTGGTGGTAGTTAGTGACCTGTTTATCGTCTGGAGGGCTTGAGATGGAAATGTGGATGTGAATGCGGAGATTGAGGGTGAAGGTAAAGGTGGAGGTGGACGTGGGGGTGGAAGGGTTCAAGCGTGACAAAGTACCTGTGGTGTGACTAGGAATGGGCCAAAGTAGATTGGCGCAGCGGCGCCTTTCAGCGCCGACATTTTCTCTGAGAAATCGGAGGACATGGGGTTGTTAACAGGTCGATCCTTGTGGTCCAACGCCGGAGATGCGGCAGTCAATAGCTGTTGACTCCACCGTTTGCGCTCACCGCCTACGTAGCCATCTACCATGACTATAGAGCCATCGGAGCGATATAGGATACGAGTGGTTACATCTAATTGGTCTTCAGTATGAGGACCACCTCTTTATTATGAGTCGTACGGTACTTATCAGATCCAGATTCAAGTCATCTATACGTGGCATGTCAGGTACCAGACAGAGTAGGACAGTGATAATCATACAATTGCACGAGCCCAGCTGGACATCACAAAGCTTCAGGTGAAGGGTATCATTGACATTGACCATGAGAAACGTCCTGAGCTATATTACAAGAAATAAAATCACCCGTCGCAGCGAAGAAAGCACAGAAGGCCTCGATAAAGATAGGACATGAGAAGGGAAATTAATGTTTGAACAATGGAACCTGGAGAGGCCGCAGCCTGCTTCGCCTACGATTCCGTCTTCGACTCGGCTTCGGCTGTAGCTTCAGATTCAGCTTCAGACTTAGCCTCAGTATCGGTTTTCGTCTCTGTTTCTTCTTTGGCCTCCCGGTTAACGGAAGGGGTCGTCACATCGTCGCCCTCGGGGGCCTTTTCGGTAGATTCTGGGGTTTCGGTCTCTTCGCTTTCTTGGATATGCGACTGCTCCGCATCTTTCTCTGAGCCGTCTTCGATGGGTTGTTCGGCAGTTTGCTCCGTTTCTACAGGCGATTCCGTTGGTTCTTGGACCTCAACCCCATCAGCAGGGACAGACTCGGTCGCTTCAATGGGGGTCTCTGCTGTCTCTTCGGCGGCGATTTCGGCCTCGATCTCGGCCTTGACGGGTGACTGGGGCCGGGGCTCGGGGGAGTCCCTCAAACTGGGCCGCAAGAGAACGGAAGCTTGGGAAGAATCATCGTTGTCCTCCGCAGCTTCGGTGATGGTTCCGACATGAGACCCAGTAGACGGACTGTGCTTGTGTCGTCGTGTGGTGGCGCCGGTATCGAGTGGGGGGAGCCATGTTCTCCAGTGAGCCGAAAGGACTTTCACCATCCTTGCGCAAAATTGTCAGACGCTTGCTCTCAACCGGCTCGGCCACTCCTTGAGGCTCAGTAGCATCTAGCCCTTCCGCCTCCGCAGGAATGGTGTAATTATCCTCCGGAATGAGGTTGTACATGTCGCAAACGGTCTTGAAAAAGACATAGAGGCCGTCATTGCCCTCAACCTCCCAGAAAACATTTCTGTGCTGAAACCAAGCGTGTGCGAAGATACGGTACAGACGGCGGAAGATGTTGGTGAGATGCCTCATGCTTGCCTGCGGTCCGCCGGCGGTCTCGGAGCCTAATGTCAATCGGCTGGGGAAGTTCTTTGGCGAAGTTAGGGTGTTTGTGGCCCAGTCGAGAGTATGGCAGCAGTAATCGATAGCGCAGCAGGATTTAGGAGGCTCGTGGACAGCGCAAAGATATTGCCACTCCGATGCGCGCATCTCCGGGCAGGTCTGCGCCGAGCAAGGCGGATCCTCAGCAAAAAACGCAATGAGCAGATTATTAACTTTCATCGTGAGGAATCGGCAAAGTTCGTAAAGCCAGAGGGACCGGTCAACTCCCTCTGGTGGTTCCGCGAGCTCGATCGCGACTTGGCGGTTAATCGGGACCACCGTGTCCGATCCTTCGGGTTTCGTAAAGTGGTGGTACAGGGCTTTGAGGTGCTCTTGGAGCTGGAAAGGGGAGTCGAGCTGGGGATGTTAGCTTTGAATAATTTCCGGCGATGCTCGATGCGTTTCACATACCTGCGACAATGGAATCAGTGGTGGACCGAATGCCATATTAACCGCTTTGCTGCCCGGTCGAATCCTGCGCGTCGAGGCATCATCCTGCGCCGGCACACCTAAGATCTGATCCGCATCCTTTCCAAATGTCTCACCAACAGAAGGCGACTGGGGCCCGATCTGGACTTCTGTAAAAGGAGGAGGGCTGGGGAGGCGTGGAGAGCTCAACGGGGAGACTCCGGTAGTCATGGCGCGCGTTGAGGAGTAAGAGGAGAGAAGAGAGAAGAGAGAGGCGCGCGAAGACCAAGGGAGAGAAACCGAAAGAAATAAAAGAGTGAAAGGTGACTCCGCGCCCTCAAGCGATCAGAAAGTGAGCATGTCCTAAAGGGTTCAAGAGTGCTACTAGACGGGGCTGTTGTCTCCTTCCGGTCGAGGCCGTTGCGATAAGCAACAACAAATGACCGCCCAATGCCCTAAGCCCTACTTCCCCAATCCGGGTAGGTAACAACGTCATCTCCGCATCTCTACGTGTTTTGCTACTCTAGTACTAGCTACCCTAGTACGGACTTGCGGGCAACAGGACCGTTTTATTTAACAACAGCGGAAATATCTTGCATGATGTCTGCCAATATCGAGGATGATGAGGCTCCGCCAGATCTAGTCGATGTGTCGGCAATGCCCGCCGATCAGACAGATTCTATAGAGGAGGAGCCAACAGCTCGGGTTCCTATCACGCTGGTAACAGGTATGGTTTGAAGAATACTCTTCAAATATGTCATCAAGTACCTAGGTACTAACCATGGGGTTTCAAGGTTATCTGGGTGCGGGGAAGACCACCTTGTTGAACTATATCTTGACCGAGAAGCACGGCAAAAAGATCGCTGTCATCATGAATGGTTCGTCATTGTCAAGAAGTAGAGTGTTTAAAGTTTAGAATACGGACTAACAAGACCCAGAATTCGGTGATTGTATGTCTAAAGTGAACTCGAATCTCCATTACGCCAATTCTCATTCTCCATCATAGCAACCGACATCGAAAAACCTTTGACCGTCAACGAAGGCGGCCAAGAAGTCACCGAGTGGATGGAAGTGGGCAATGGTTGCATCTGCTGCTCAGTCAAGTAACTACCACACGAAACTGAGACTCTGCTACATGATCCAAGTCCCTAACAATATCTCTAGAGATACTGGCGTCATGGCCCTCGAATCTCTCATGGAGCGCAAAGGGACTTTCGACTACATCCTCCTTGAGACAACAGGTCTTGCCGACCCGGGCAATATCGCTCCAGTATTCTGGATGGATGAAGGCCTCGGCAGTTCCATCTACCTAGATGGCATCGTTACACTCGTCGACGCAAAAAAACATCCTGCACCTGCTGGACGAACCAACGCCGGAGCAAAAAGCAGAGGCACATAACGCTGATCACGACCACGGCTCTGGCCCTGTGCTATCCATGGCGCATATGCAGATTTCCCACGCTGATGTGATTATCCTTAACAAGACGGATTTGGTGACACCACAAGAGCTAGAGGCCGTTAAGGACCGCGTTACGGCCATCAATAGTGTGGCCAAGATCAATGTGACAGATCATAGTCGGACACCCCAGATTGAGGGGGTGGTATTGGATCTACATGCATATGATCACCTCGCAGACTTGGATTTCAGTAAGAAGGGACATAGTCATATGGACCCGGTATGATTCCATTCTTTGTTCGTCTTATCCCCTAGTCTAACTGTGCTGACCTTGTTGTGACTGTAGGCAATTTCTACAGTAGCTATCACCACGTCACCGATTACTGCCGACAAGGTCATACGGGTGGATGAGTGGCTACGCTCTGTTCTTTGGGAGTCAATTTACCCAGTACCCGCTAATTCCAACCCTGAAACTGCCCCTGCTAGCTTTGAGATTCATCGATTGAAGGGTATTCTTGTTCTTGAGGATGGCTCCACTCGGATTATCCAAGCCGTGCGGGATGTCTTTGAGATTAGGGATACAGAGCCCGCTAAGGATGATGGCAGCAGGCCAGTTCAGTGCAAGATTGTGCTCATTGGTAGAGGTCTGGGCTCAAGCGCTGACCCATGGAAGGCAAGCTTTGAGTCCTACGTCCGGGAAAGCTGAGAAAGTATCCCATAGTTACTCAATCTACGACGAAGTTAAAACAGAATAGTATTTACAGAAGAACTGGGCATGATATAGGCCAGAGTGCTCGGAATTCCAGAGTTCATCAGTGGTTGCATTGCAAGAAATCAATTGGAATAATACAGATATGTTAGCCAAAAGAAAGAGTGCTAGTGATCAGATACATTCAAACAGCCCTCATGAAACGCCAAACAATCAAAGCCTCCAGTATGTAAAAAAAAAAGACAGGAACAAGCAACCAATTAAATCGAGAACACACATAAGAAATGGCTAAAGAGGCAAAAAAAGACACACAAAAAGTAGCATTAAAACAGTGTTCAGATCAAAGTCCGCCAGAAGAATGCAAAAAAGAATAACAAAGACTTTTGTTGGGCCGCCAAATGTTCGCCGGCTTGCGCCATGGGCGGCGCATATGCCTTGTAAAGCAGAGCTTGAACGCGACAATGACGAGGGTTGAATGTACAATCAAGAAACGAAGGGGTATCGAGCGTGTACTCCCCAAGCAATGGGGTTATTTCAGATAAAAACGAATCTGGGTGTATTGTTGTCGGAAAAAAGGCTTCTGGGAAGTGAGCCTGGCGCTTGAACGCTTGGACGGAATTCAGAAGAGATTGACATGGATGTTTCTAAACGCGGGATTGATTGGTAATTGCGATTCGGACAAAGATGATGACAGTCGGCGTTGGATGGAGGGTCGTGCTGGTCGTAGCCCGGGGGATGGTTTTTTCTCTGACACCGAAGGAATGGTGTTGTGTTCAGGAATACTCAGGGCGGGGTTGATGGGTAATATAGATTCGGATAGAGACGGCGTCGGGCGGCATTGAATAGGCGAGCGTGCTGGTCGTAATCCGGGGCGTGGTTTATTCTCCGAGGCCGGGAGAATGGTATGGGGTTCAGAGGTGTTCAGAGCAGGGTTGATGGGCAATCGAGATTCAGACAGAAATGATACCAGTCGCTCAGAAACCATTTTAAGTTGAACCAAGTGTATTCCAGATTTTCGGTCAGATAGCGAGGCGGGGGGGAAGGATTTGCGCTTCGGTATACCTATTGCTGGATTGATTGGCAGCCGAGACTCCGAAAGAGAAATGTTCAGCCCGTGAGGAGCAATCACGGACTGCTTAAGAGGTAGTATCGAAGACTCTGGGGTTTCTGACTTGGAAGAGACAAGTAAGGGGACGGGGGGAGCCACGGCTGGGTTGATTGGCAGTTGAGAATCGGCGAGCAGGAATGCCAATTGATGGTGCGAAGGGTTGGACTGAGCGGAGCTGTCCTCGCCTCGGCGAATGCTGCTAACATCCGGAGGAAACGACTTGCGCTTGGAGAGAGCTGGATTGATGGGCAAAGCCGAGAGAAACAGGGATGTTGATGGTTCAGGAAACTCATTTGTTCGCACAAGAGGCGCATTGTTTCTATCGGTGGGAGCAGATTGGGATTCCTCATCATGGGCGAGACCAAGCCCATTAGATAATTGCTCGCTCGCCGTTGTAGCATTGGAAGAGTGGTACGAAGACTCTAGAGGAATGGGTCGAATTGCGTCTCCATCGTTGGCAGGGGTAATTGACGCTCACCGGTCGATTCCTCTGATTCGGTGTGTGATTCACAGAGTCGTGGCTGGAGATCCGTTTCCATTGGACCGAAGCCGTGACCAACTGTACTTTCCCACACAGATGGTACATCGGTTTGTATTTGATGATCAGTTGGCAATTCCGAAGCTGGTTCTCGGAATGAAGAGTGGGAATCTTCATTCCAACACCCGCCGTCCAGACCATTGGATTCATGGTGGTTTAGAGTGGACGCGGAAGAATGTCGAGATGGAAAAGCGACTCCGTCATTGGAATCAGCTAGTGTGACGGTCGATCTTTTGCCCTGGCCAGGGTGGTCGTGGAATAGGGGCGGAGAAATATCGATATCCTGCTCACTCGAATACTTCAATGAGGAGACAGGGGTGAATAGATTGAGATTGGGTGTGGTTCTCGTGCGCTGGGGATCGACAAGATTGCTTTTGGGAAGGTGGGTCGTTGCCGAGGTGGCGCATGGAAATCGGTGGTCTGGTCGGGGAAATAGATGCGTGGGAAAGAATGAGAGCAGTTCTTTGGCGGATATTCTGTGTCGAGGCATTGGGCTCAGACAGATATCGACTATTCGTCGATAGTAATCTGGCACGTCCACATCAAAACCAAGGAATAATGGACGAGGTTGTCGCTCAGGCTCATCTTCTTGCATTGCCAATGCCCACAATGTCATGCCGAGCTGGTAGAGGTCTGTCTTGACGCCAATGTACATCGAGATCCGTTGGTTGCTCTCAATTTTCTGAGCAATTTCGGGGGGTTCCCATCCAACGGGGCAGCCCCTGCGATTTATGTCGATAATAAAGGCCTTATCGTCCGCGTCCACCACAATATTTGACAGAGTGAAATCGCCTTGGACGTAGCCGGACTCGTGGATCTCGCATAAACCCTGGACAATTTCTTTGGCCCACCGCTCCCGCCTAGCAAAGGGAATGCGACCACGTTGATCGTACAGGATATCGACCAGGGCACCTCGTTCAGCATAGCTAATGAGAAGCCCCTTGACCTTCTGGTGGTGCTCATCCACCACAATGCCTCCCACTTGAATCACATTGGGCGAGCCGACCAGGGCGTGGAGAGCATTGATCTCGTAAAGGAATTCATCGACGGTGTCGGGCCCGGGAATTTCCTTCTTGATAAAATTATGTCCATCCTGTTGTACTTTATAAACAAACCCGGAAAGATGCGCATCGAAGTGGAGGTGGGTTTCTGGAATGCATCGAGCGCCTGCGAGATGGCCGATGCTGGAAATGGGAGGGTAGGGAATGATTTCGTTTACGTCCTCGGTGACGTGAACGTGGAGACGACCATCGCTAGTTTCAACCTTCAGATTCGTCACAGTATCGTAGAACTGGATGTCAGGAAGGGAATCACGGAGTGACTCGTAAATGCGAACGCTTTTGTCTCGCTGATATCGAAGTCCCTTCAGATCAGCTTCCAGTGAATCGGGCTCTGCCCCACGGTAATCGCAGGAAATTGTCACTCGTCGCCATTGGTAGGGATTTTCGACGTAGGTGATGAAAAACTTCTCCCTTTCTGAACGATCCCGAAAGTGCATACTCAGATTGAGGATCCATCGATTATCCAGATCCATATCGATTGTGTCTGGCGCCGGCGCCTCCACCTCAGGGGGATCGGTTGTCAGGTCTCCTTCCCAGCCGGCATAGAGACTGGTTTCTTCATTTGGTTCCTCGGATTCGACGAGTTCGAGGGGTTCGAGGGGCTCGGGGGATGCAAAAGGATCGAAATCGTCCAGGGGCTCGTCAACCATGGTAGTATGTGTCGGGCCGAGCCACTGAACCTCTGGTGCGGACAGTCGTGGGCCCGTTGGTGGTAGTGGAGACTGAGATCGGGCGTTCGAGGGGCTACTGCGGTCGGCGGACTGGGCGCGACGCTGTTCATGTTCGGGCGCTAGACGGTCTGGAAGCTCGGGAATCGATCTTTTGAAGGGTGTCGATCGGGGTAAACCAACCCCTACGCGGCGAGACAGTCGACGGGTCAAGTTGTCCTGTCTGGAGCGCGAGTTGCTATCCACCGAGGCAGCGCGGTTGTGGTTGTTGTTATTGTTGTGGTTGTTGTGGGGGGAGGAAGAGTCATTGTCGGAAGAATCTCGATCGTCGCGGCCCAGCCATCTTCGCAGACCTAATTTATGCCACATGCTCTGCTTCTTCGACACTTTTTCCTCAGGGACTAGACCCAGCCGCGTCGGGCTACAGTTGTTGTTGTTGGCAAGAGAGATGGCCATACGGCACCACCTGCTGCTGTTGCTGGTTGCTGGTTTGATTCTGTCGTCCAAGTAAAGACTCGAACACCCTGGTGGAAACTCCGCTGGCCATAAGAATTGAGCCAAAATTCGAGGGGCCTCCTAGTGGCGGAAAAAGAGAATCAAAAAAAAAGATTTGGCGTAGCCTGTGACAACCCACAGAGCTTTCTTTCTGATCCCCAAAGCTCCCTGTGAGTCACTTTGGTAGATTTGGGACGTGTCCCCCTTGAAATTTCAAGACTCCCTGTCAATTCAACGAGGGATAGAGACTTCCGTTGAGGTCCGGGCAAGGTCAAGGTCAAGGTCAAGATTCAAACGTGTCACACAACGTCGGGCTGCAATAGGCGCGGTGGCTGGGAGGGCTGGTCCGTGACAATATGCCAGTGAGCATGGGGAAAGGCGGTGCAGACGAGAGAAGTCGGTCAGAGAACTCGGTCAAGGGTCTCTGACTGCTCTCGAAAGCATCCAACACTGGCACAGATTCGATTCACAGCAGGCAATAAATGTTGCTGGTGGGATGGGATAGTGCGTTGATCCACTGCAAGGCCTGATGTCTCACAGCGCTCCGGAGCAAAAGGACTCTGCAGGGGATCAATCAGAAGAGCCAGCAGGAGGCAACCCCAAAAAATATATAAGAGTCAAGAGAGAAAATCGATAAAAATAAAATAGAAAAGGAAAAAACAAGGACAAGGATATGATTCATCCAACGCGCGCACAGATAAAAATTATAAAATAAAATAAAAAGCCGACAGGATGCGTTGCGGCCTGACAACTCATGCCTGATTGGGAGGCTCAACGAAGATCGGCTGGGCAACAACATAAAGTACTACTAATACTACTAGTAGTATACTACATAATACTGGCAGTAAGGTCTAGAACTATCTACTAGTTTACTCTGTACTATACTATAGAGTAGCATATACTAAGTACTAGCACTAGTGTTTTACTACTACATATCTCTTTGTTACCAGGTCTATAGTAGATCGGGTTCCAAGGAGAACCTCCAAAAGACGTGGTAGGATCTATCTGCTCTATCGGGACAAGAGATCACGCATGCAAACGGAACTTGAAACAGCACTGCTTCGGCAACTCATGAGAGTGGAGTGAAATTTTGGACTTGGGGGCTCAATGCTAATCAAAACACGCGTCTACCCGCAACTCCAGTCCATGCATTCCATGGAATGATAAGACGCCATATACATCCCATACCAGTCAAAATAAAAAGAAACAAACAACAAAGACGAAATAAAAGAACCTGTACAGAAATAGTTCACACATATGTACCAGAGGGAAATCCTCGACATCCATAAAGACATTTCACTCATCACCCTCGTGCTCGCCCTTCTTGCCCTCCGGCTTGGTCAGTGCCTTCTGCCAGATCTGACGAGCTCCCTCATGGTCCAAGCCGGAGAAGAGGATGTCAAAGACCTGAGAGTACCAAGAAACCGGGTGGCCCTCAATACCATCCTTGATGTTCTATACCAGAATATTGTTAGTTTGGAATTCCTGCGATTAGGACCGAGTGGGTGATGAGGTGATTCAAAACTTACCGCAGGCAACTCCAACCAGTCAGACAAGTTGTCCGCAGGGAAGATAATCTTGCTAGCACCAGCCCGGCGAGCGGCGACAGTCTTCTCTCGCAATCCACCAATGCGCATCACCTTGCCAGTCACCGTCAACTCTCCAGTCATGGCCACGGTCGGGTCGAGGGAATGGTTCAGGGCGAGAGAAAGGAGCGCGCTGGCCATTGTGATACCAGCCGAGGGACCTGTAGATCATTAATTAGCATATTGCGAGGGGAAAGCCGGAGCGTTACGAGTAAACATACCATCCTTGGGAACAGCCCCTTCAGGGCAGTGAAGGTGAACCTTGGCCTTCTCGAAAAATTCGTTCTCCGGGAATTGCTTAACCATGAGAGATTTGGCAAACGAGTAAGCAATGTGTGTCGACTCCTTCATGACATTTTGCAAGTTTCCGGTAATATCAAGTCCCGGTCGGGATCGGTGGTTCAGAACACTTTCCAGGATACACTCAACATAGAGCGCCGCTCCGCCCATGCTGGTCCATGCGAGACCCATGGTGACACCAGGAGGGAACTGGTCATACAGGCGATCGGCAGTGAATACCGGGGGTCCAACGTAGTCCTTCAGGGATTCTTTGCCAATATCGAGTGTGACTTCGTCGGGAACCTGAAGGCCGAGGCGAGGAGTTTCAGTAGTAGACTTCTCGGGTTCGATCGGCGCTTGGGCAGGGTCAGAGGACTCATGTTCCTTGTCCTCTGCTTGGGCAGCCTTGCCCTCCTCGGTGAGGGCATCCTCCTCGGGGAGAGCCTCTTCACCCAGGTCCTGAATAATCTTGAATGCTGCCTTGCGGTAGACCTTCTCAATTTGCTTCTTCAGGTTGCGGACACCACTCTCCCGGCAGTATGATTTGATTAACTCCTCAATGGCCTCTTCCTGGAGGTTTACGTTGACATTGCCCAGACCTGTGAGTTCCTTGGCGGCTGGCGCAAGGTAGCGCTTAGCAATTGCCATCTTTTCGTCTGCAACATAACCGGAAAGCTCAATGAGCTCCATTCGATCCAGCAATGGCCGAGGAATGGTATCAGTGAGGTTGGCTGTGCAGACGAAAAGGACCTTAGATAGATCCACTGGGACATCCATGTAGTGATCCAGGAAGGAGGAGTTTTGTTCAGGGTCGAGCAGTTCCAGCAAGGCAGAAGAAGGGTCGCCCTGGTGGCCACGGCCAATCTTGTCAATTTCATCAATGAGAATCAGGGGGTTCTCAGTTTGACACTTCTTCAGCGCTTGGATGATGCGGCCAGGAAGAGCACCGACATAGGTACGTCGGTGACCCTTGATCTCGGCAACATCTGTCAAACCACCCACGGAGAAGCGGTAATATTGTCGGTTTAGGGCACGGGCAATAGACTTGCCAATACTAGTCTTTCCAACACCCGGGGGACCAACAAAGCAGAGAATCTTTCCTTCCACGGTTCCGCGCAGTTTGCCGACAGCAATGAATTCAAGGATCCGGTCCTTCACATCCTTCAAACCATAGTGATCCTCGTCCAAAACAGTCACTGCATTCTTAATTCCAAAGTTCTCAACGCTCTTCTGGCCCCAGGGAATCTGGGTCAACCAGTCCAAGTAGTTGCGAGTAACGTTGAACTCCGATGCAGCAGGTTCAAGGTGGGCCAATTTGTTGAGTTCCTCCTCGAAGACCTTCTTAACGGCCTCAGGCATGGCCAGCTTCTCTGCCTTCTCCTTAAACTTCTCCACTAGCTTCTCCTTGCCATCCGACTCGATACCAAGTTCCCGTTTGATTCCCTTCATTTGCTCCATGAGCCAATACTCACGTTGGCGCTTTTGGATCTTAGCCTCAACGTCCTTGGTGATCTTAGACTGCAGCTGAGCGTTCATCAACTCCTTCTTCAGAACAACGAGTGCCTTTGGAAGACGTTCTTCAACGTCCATGGTCTCGAGAACTTCTTGCATCTCCTTAAGCTCACCCGCTGAAACCGCGGCAGCAAAGTCTGCGAGTTTGGCGGGCTCGTCACTCAAGTTTCCAGGAAATTGGTCGGTGTAGAAGGCTGAGATCTGGTCGCGGAACAAAGGGTTCAAGGTGGCAATCTCCTTGCACACATTCACGATCTCACTGGTGACTGCGCGAATAATCGGGCTCTTCTTATCGAATGGCTCTTCCGCAAGATTCTCGACGTTAACAAGACTGACGGGATACTTCCGGAGGAAAGACGTGGGCTCGTAGTGATACTTGGGCGCATTTTCCGGGGCCCCTTCCTCAAAACTAGCCACAACGTCGCCCTTCTTCTCAGTTTCATTCTCCGAAGGTTCGGTTTCTTTCTTCGGGGTTGTAGGTGGGAGCAATTCCGAGATTTTGATACGTCGATGGGGATATAGCACGGCCGTCACACCAGAAGCCTCTCCACGGAGTGGATATGCTGCAGTAATCTGGGCAAACACACCGGTCTCATAAACGTCATCCATGTTCTCAATAATATCGCCATCCGCATTATCATCCTTGAACAGAAAGGCACCCACATAAGGTTGACCGCGCTTCATCATATCTTGAATAGCAGCGGCAACGTTCGGGTCTCGGATAGTGATTGCCTTGTAAAACCCGGGGAACAAGGGACGCTTGGCAATTGGAATTGCCATCACTTGAGGGTATACATCTGGAACCGCCGGTTTCTGTAGAGCCTTGTCCCCAGAGCTCTTCTTTCCTTTCTTTCCACCGTCGTCATTTCCAGAACCACCACCGCTTGCAGAACTGGGCTTAGAGTCTGCCTGGCCGCTGGTCGGGGAATGGGAGATGGAGATTTGTTCGCATCACCCTTGCCATCCGATGCATTGGCGTCCTTCTTAGCATCCTCTTCTAGCCCACGTTGTTCCTTGTCGTTGGCCGTTCGGTCTTTTTTCCGCGCGGGACCTGTCGGGTCTGCCGACTTCTTCCGTGACTCAGGAGTTTTATCGGTATCCTTAGCATCCTGAGATTCTTTATTCGGCTCGTCCTCCGTTTTCTGGTCGAGATCGTCCTTGGGGTCATCTGATGGAGGCTTCTCTCTCCGCACAATTGAGCTTGAGGAGAACGTGCGGGGAGCGGAGAGAGGGGATCGGCCAGCTCGGCTCAAGACTGGCGATGACCGGAGAGTCGCATTGTTCCTTGGGATGGAGAGAATCGTTCGACGGAGCAAAGGACGAGGTGTTTGGTGGAGCGCAGCTCTCCAGGGGAGGGTCTGGCCGCGGAGCATACTATTTGAATCTCTGGCCGGGAACGGTCGGTGGTGTGGTCGAGTGAGGATGGGGGTATTAAGGTATAAAGGATAAGCTCGAATTACCCGTCGCCGAGCTTCCAGGGGATAGGGAGGGGGTAAGGAGGAGTGTGAGGTGGAAAAGAGCTGGTGGTCCGTCTTCGGAGCTCGGTCCCAGGCTGCTCGTGCTTAGCTCACCTCGTCGGCGACG